AAAAAAAAAAAAATTATTATAAAAAAAAGCCTTATCTGCCAAAAAAATAAAATAAAGTTTTGTTAGTTATAGTTAACCGCCTATAGCAGAGCAGACCTCCCCTATCTCATCTGCTGCTCCCCTTAGCAATGTATTTCAATAGGTCTGTCTGTTCTGCTCCCCACTCTTGTCTCTGGTGAATACTCTCACTATACACGCCTCTGGCCTACCCCCAAATTCTTATATGCATTAAAGAAAAGAAAATCTTTAAAAGAAAAAAAGACTGTAGAGATAGTAAAACATATCCAAGTTCTTGAAAGATACTGATCTAGTTTTCCTTTCTTAAAATATCTTTGGTTTGGGAACTCCCTCGTAGCACAATGGGTTAACCACATCACTATGAAGCTGGCCACAGCCACTTCAGCAAAAGTTCAATCCCCACCAGGGAGGTAACCCACATGGCGTGGCAGACCTCTCCTGACCTGCCCGCTGCTCTCCTCAGCAGTGTATTTCAGTACATCTGCCTGTTCTGCTCCCCACTTTGTCTCAGGTGAAATCTCTCATCCCCTGTACCTGGCCTATACCCCAATTCTGTATGCATAAATAAATACATCTTTAAAAAAAAATACCTTTGGTTTGGAATGAGGGTAATGATGGCCTCATAGAGTAAATTAAAAATCTTCCCCTGCTTCTATTTATTGAGACTATAGAGAAATGCTATAACTTCTTGCTTATTTGGTAAAACTTATCTGTGAACCTGCTTGGGTCTAGTGTTCTTTTAAAAGGTTATTAATTATTGATTAAGTAATTAATCAATTATTCAACTCTTTTAATAGATATAGGCTTATTCAGATTGTCATGATCCAAAATGTTAAATGGCTTTTAATGTCCTTTGAATTTTTTTTTTTTAAAGATTTATTTATTTATGCATACAGAACTGGGGTACAGGCCAGAGGCTCGGGGCGGTGAGAGGCTTCACCAGAGAAAGAGTGGGGAGCAGAACAGGCAGATCGACGAAGTACACTGCTGAGGGGAGCAGCGGGTGGGTCAGGAGAGGTCTGCCACACCATGTGGTCACCTCCGGGGCAGGCGGGAATTGAACTCATGCGGAAGTGGCTTTAGCTTCTCAGTGCAGTGCTTTAACCCGCTGCGCCACCAGGGAGGGCCCGTCCTTTGAATTTTTATGTATTTTTCTGTCTTCTAAAACAAGTGTGACTATTACATCGTATAGTGGGAAAAATACTACTTTATTGGCCATATCTAATCACTACAATTTTGCTAAACAAGACATAAAGGTTATAATGACTAAGAATTTTTTAAATTGTACAGTAAAGGAATGAGACTTTTAATGAACATAAAAAATATACATGTTGAACCTGAAACTTACATCATAATCCAATGTTACTTCAACTTTAAAAACAGTAAGAAAATACCACAATTTCCAAACCAAGAAAATACATATTCTCTTCCCTAGGAAGCAAATACTGATTATATAGTATACCTGGACAAGAAATGCCTCAGGGTCTCTCTGAGTTCCTTTCATTCCTAGAAGAGTAGAAAAAATCACTTTGAAATTGAAATCTTCTCCCACTTCCACAGCAAGTCCTTTTTGCTTTTCAGCAGCAATAAATGCACTCAGAAGTCTAGAATAGTCTCTGAGATTATTATAGGAAAATTTATATAAGGGAGTTAAACTGTATAAACTCCATTGCTTATGCAGAAGGAATGCAACCTTTTGAGGATCAACATTTTCCTAAAAGAAAAACAAAAAAAAAGAAACATGACAAAAGAAGTTTAAGAATTAGTAAGCATTAATAAACAAGAATTTAACCATAGTGTCTTCGTTCTTAATACAAATCTATTCCTGGGTACTGGACCTTTGTACTCCAACCAAACTGGAGTTTGCAAGACACTGAAAATCCTTCAACAGGTTTTGCATTTGTTCTACTTCCCTTTGGAATGCTTTTTCCATGAGTGTTCACATGGCATATTTGTTCAGGTTTCTGCCTACATGTCACTCAAAAGACCACCCAATCTAAAGTAGCATCTGTACAGAATCCATCTTTGTCACTCAATATCTTCTTACCTTGCTTTATTGTCTTCACAGTGTTTACTACTATCTGACATTATCTATTTGTCTAATTTTTACTGTGTGTCTTCCCAATGAGTATGAATCTGAAGAGAACAGGGACTTTTTGTCTATTTTGTTCAGTACCACATTTCTAACACTTAGAAGAGTGTCACCTAGAACATGTGTTGAATAAATATTAGACAAACATTTGTTTTTAAAAGTAAAACAAAAACATTTGTTTTTAAAAGTAAAACTGCAATTTCAGTTACAGATTTTGAAAATAATAACTATTCCTGGAGTATTTAATTTGATATGTTCTAATTTTTTAAAACGTTTGGCAGTAATGACAATGCCTAGTTCAGTAAATTAAATAATATACTTGTGGGTATTTTTGTCATGCTCTACTAGAACTACAGGTACCATCAAAAACAAAACATGTTTTTGTTCTGGCACTTTTGTTGAGGGTCAATACACCCCTGTGTAGACACCTCCTTTTATCCTGAATCTTTCTACAGAATGCATACTTCTTAATATAATCTCACAACTCCAGCTCTTTTGGGCTTTCAACAGTTATCTAATTTATAAAAATATATGTTCTGTCTAGAGAATTCCTGGAAAACAGTTATCAAAGTTTTTTTAATTATTATCAAAAGATATGATATGGCACAAGGGGTTAAGTCACAGCACTATGAAACTATTAGCTACTGCAGCAGGAGTTCGATCCCTGGCCAGAGAGCTAACCCACATGGTACAGATTTCTCCTGTTTTACCCACTGCTCCCCTCAGCAGTATATTTCAGTCAATCTACCTGTTTTGCTCCCTATTCTGTCTCTGGTGAATTCACCACCCCCTCAGCCCTGATGCCCTGCACCTCTGGCCTTTTGTATACATAAATAAATAAAACTAAATCTTTACAAAAAAAACTTGTACTGTACATACAAAGCAGTATTGAGTTAGACATTACAACCTTTAATTTATATACAATTTCTGTTTTCTAGTAAGAACCATCACTTCATTATTGATACTAGTAATTTTTCTCTAATGTTTTCACAAAGAAGCAAAAATTTCATCATGTCCCAAAAAACACAAGAGAATGTTACAAGGAAAGTATGGGTGATTGATCAGCCAGGCTCCTTGCTAAATGACTCAAAACCACACACCAGACTTGTTTTAAATAGTATTTTATTTCATGTTTTAGTAAAATTAAAAATTACTAATGTTGTGGCCTTCAAGTTTATTTATTAGTGACCCAAACAGAGCATGTTGCCACCAGACAAATCTAGGACAACTTAAACAACAAAATAATTCAGTAATGTGGCCCTCCCTGGTGGCGCAGCAGGTTAAAGCACAGCACTGAGAATCTAAAGCCGCTTCCGCATGAGTTTGATTCCCACCTGCCCTGGAGGTGACCACATGGTGTGGCAGACCTCTCCTGACCCACCCGCTGCTCCCCTCAGCAGTGTACTTCGTTGATCTGCCTGTTCTGCTCCCCACTCTGTCTCTGGTGAAGCCTCTCACCGCCCCTGAGCCTCTGGCATGTACTCTAGTTCTGTATGCACAAATAAATAAATCTTTAAAATAATAATAATAATTCAGTAATAAATTAAAAAACCTGAAAAACAGGAATTAATGAGTCCATAAAATAAATAAATGAACAAATGAATGAGTGACTGAGAAGGGCTCACAATGGAATGCCAAAGACTGATAGACAGGGAGGGAACAGAGTCACAAAATTGAAATATTGAAAAGTTCCAGATTAAAGGAGACAGTGTGCATAATTGTTTTAACTGTTTCTCATTTTATTACCTGACGGATTAAGAAGATACTAAAAAAATTATAAATAGTAACAAAAATTATTATTTTTTTCACAGATAGTCTCAATACTGAGTAATATAAAGAAATACAAAAAGCATACCTGCAGTTGTGAACAATGGGGAATTTTCCTTCGAGGTGGGGTTGGGACAAATGAAGTCTGCTTCCGGACTGATTCTAATCGTTTCTGCAGAGGAGTCGCGCCCACAAATAAATCTTTAAGCTTTGAAGATGCTCTTGGTCTAGGTGTCGATTCTGGTGTATCATAAGAATCCATGGTCTACAAAATAAAACCAGACTTCTAAACACTAAAAAAATTGATTTGTGCTTACAGTTTTACTGATTATTCTTCTTACTAATTGAACAATTCTGTTCTTTTGCTCTCCCAATTTTTCAACCAATTATCATATTTCTCATTGGCTACAGCCTATTTTTTACTATCTTACAGATCCCTGTACACAGTATATTCAAAACTAAATTCACCTCCTTCTCATCCCCTTCCTTCCAAAAGGTACTGACCAAGTCCATTTTCAAATCCTTGTCAATTTTCTAACTTAACTTAATCTAAGTGATCTGCTACTTTCATTCCTATTTCACAGTCATTAAACATATATTTTTTTAAAACATATTCTCTCAAGTACTTCATTCAAGTCTCTCTTACAACCCTAAAGCTACTTTCTTAGCCAATTCTTAGTAACGCAATTAAATATTTCCACACCTAAGGGCATCCACTTTTTCCGAAAAACTTTTACAGTGATGAGATTAAATTCCAAACTTTTCTGTTGGGCATTTTTTACAGTGTATCCTTATTTTTCTACTTCTAGACACAAACATTTTTGTTGGCATGCTTTTCACAAATTAGCTACATTCCCAATTAATGTCCTTTTTTCATTCTATCACCTTTAAAACCATGCTTCTTGAATTCGATTCCCTTTCAAGGAGGAGGGTTTTCTTAACCCCTTTCCCCAAAATACCTATATTATACATATACTCTGTGTGGGTATATAGAATGAGATCTCAAGGTAAATATTTTTTTAAATCCCTCTAGGTAAGTCTAACAAAATCCTTCAAGGTTGTTCTATAAAATCTTTGGATTTTAACAATATGCCAACCCACATGGCTACTCTTGACCACCTACATCTATACCACTCATTTGCCCTATATTCATGTAATCCCTTGCTTATTTTCTGGTTTGCAATTTTTGTTCTCCCAGCAAACTTTGAAACCACAGTTTATATTTCTCACATATAATTACCCAATATAATGCTATGTCCCCTTTAACTGTTAAACAAGAGTTGTACAAAAGTATTTCAGAGAGCTCCAAAATTCTAACTTCCTTTGAAAGAAGCTATGCTTTTAAGGTTATAATAATAACTCCTAAGTAGACAGTTATCTTTTTTTTATTATTTTTTTATTACAAAGTTTATTTTTACATCATTTTGCACATTTTTTTTTCCATCTCGATTGTAATCCCCGCGGGTTTCTCATCACCAAATCACCCCTGTGCCACCACCATAGTCCCATGCATTTCCCTCCCTTTCCGCCCCCTGCCCCCCGTTTTTGATCCCATTCCCCACTCCACCCCCACAAAATGTCTCTGGTATATGGTTGTTCATTATTTTTGTTATTTTCTCGCCTGGTCCATTATACTCCTGCTATGAGTGACACCATTCGGTATTTTTCTTTCTCTTTCTGGCTTATCTCACTAAGCATGATCTTTTCCAGCTCCATCCAAGTTGCTGCAAGAGACATGTGTTTCTCTTTTTTGGTTGCTGAGTAATATTCCATTGTATATATGTACCACATCTTTCTAATCCAGTCATCTACCTAAGTAGACAGTTATCTTTTAAAAATGTTTTTCATTAGTGAAAAGTTGTACTTATTACTATACTTAAATTTCAGTATGCCAAAGATATATGTCTGTATCTTGCACAAAATTCCATAAATTAAAAATATGGTCTCAGCTCATAAAATGCCGAGTAAGATGTCATACAATTTTAATAGCATCTACTCTAAACCATTCAAACTTTAAATATATACTGAATCGTCTATTGAAAGTGCAACTGTAATCAGTCCAATCTACATTGAATGTTTCATTCAAATTTGTTACTTGGAATAACTACTGACATTTACTGAGCATTCATCATATGCATGGCACTCATTCCAGTCCTGAACAATAACAATCTTATTTAATCTTTAGACAATCTCAGGTATGGGTTATCATATCCCCATTTGGCAGAGGGGAAGACAGGGAAGTTAACTAATTTACCAGCATTACAGAGTTAAAGAGTCAGAATTTGAACACAATCTAACTCTAAAGTGAACATCTTTATCTCTATCTACTACTATTTTCACGTAGTTATTAAATAGGGATCACTTTCAAGGTAAAAATATGCCCAATTGAGTTTGGCTCCTAACAAGAGAAATGCTAGGAGTTACCAAAAAAAAAAAATTTCAGTTGATTCAGTAAGAAAAGGATAATTAGTACTGAGAAGGTTGGTTTTAAGATATTTCCTCTGAATATTTAGTGTCATGGTACCATGAAGTAGCTCAATTCATGCATTTAAGGTTAGAAAGCACTTTACACCTATTTTACCTTCTTACCTCACACCATGATGTGTAATTTTTCCCTTAATTTTTTAAGGGTTATTTATTATTTATGCATACAGAGTTGGCGTACAGGCCAGAGGTGCAGAAGGTGAGAAGATTCACCAGAGACAGAGTGGGGAGCAGAACAGGCAGATAGTTAAAGTACACTGCTGAGGGGAGCAGCGGGCAAACAGGAGAGGTCTGCTGCTGCTGCTGGCCCTTGTGGGTCACCTCCAGGGCAGGGATCAAATTTGCACTGAAACAGTTGCGCTGGCTTGCAGTACAGCATCCTAACCAGTTGTGCCACCAGGGAGGGCCCTTTCCCTTACATTTTTAATTTAAGAGGTTAAATATGTTGACCTAATGTTTCTTCCAACTGTAAGGAAAAAAATGAGGTCATTTTTTTTTCTAATAATCTGCAAACCAATTTTATGGATCTCCAAATTCTTTTACATCTCCCTGATACCCTCAAATGTTTACTTCAAACCTCTCACTTTTATTCTCTACAGGATACTTTTCTTCCACTGCATATTAATATTTATAGTTTAAAACCATTCCATCTTATTCCTTTTAAAACCAATCTCCTGATAATGTCGCATACAGTTACTTCCTCACTAGTAAATATTTACTGGACATTACCCCTCTAAATTTTCAGAAACCTGTTTTTTCTGTCCCTCAGTTTTAAAGGTGTTTTTCCTCCTCCTTCTGTCTTATATTCCTTCTGGTTCTTGTTCTTCCTGTTTCAGCAGGGTGTCTTCATACACTGAAAACATTTATTCTACATGATTCCTAAATTTCTATCTTCCTCAGAATTTGGCACTTACATTTCCAATTTCTTGTAGGATGTTAAGCTTTTGTGTCCTCAAACTAAGTTTCAAAGCTAAGCATTATTTCACAATCTTTCCTTCCCAACTACCTTGTTTCTCACAAAGTAATAATTCCATCTTCATTCTCTTCCATCCCTTGCCGTACACCTTATCTTTTACTTTACCCTCAGTATCACTTTTTCATACAACTTATCATCATTCTACCATCTTCAAAGGATCTATGCTACTAACCTCATCAGATTTGGCCTTCATTTGGAGTAATTAAGAACTGAATTCTAGCCATTCATGTTATTCCCAGTCTTTCCTAACCCATGACTAGTGTTTTCATAGACACCACTATAATCTTGTCATTACCTTGCTTGAGATCTTGTAACAATCCACACATACATTCTAAATGAGTTCAAAACTTCTCTGGCTGGGTTTCAAAGTACAATACCTGGTTTACTTGCTCTATTCGGGTTAATCTTCCAAACTTCAGTTCTTACCCTAAGACCCATGGAGAAATGACCTCTCCGAAAACCAACAACTTTCTAAGGTTATGTGCAAAATGCGGTAGGCATGTGTAGTAGTGGAGGGGAGGGGTGTGAAGAACGGTCCAGCAGACAGTTCTCGCAAAAGCTTAAGAACTCCGCCCTACACCCAAACATAGGCCCCCTACCGCTTAACTGTGCTTTGTGGCTGTCAAGTCTGTCTTCTGCGCCCTGATTTTTTATTCAACCTATCACCAATTAAACAAACAACTCTCACTTGTTTGAACAAATCCTGCCCATCCTGTAGGTTTTAGCTACTCAAACAAAGAGTATCTATAGAGTTATGGAGGAACGGGACCCGATTTAAGGCACTTTTCTACATTACCACCAATACCTAAAGCCAACGATCAGCGCCTAGTGAAGTTGGAAGCACACACGTCAAGTGAATCATTTAAACACACAAGTATTGAAATGATAACGATTACACGACAGGCCAAAATAAGTTTACTGCCAACTCTGGAACAATACAACGCACTTACCAATAAGATGTCGTGATGACGCTATTATTGTCCATTCCGGCTTCACGAATCATTCTCCAAGCCTGGATCCAAAGATCGGTCGCAAGTGAAACCCCTTGAGGTAAAAAACTCGCCAAAATGACATTCCGGCCTACCGAATTCCTTCTCTCTCCACACTGCGGGCTCACCAAGACCACAAACTTGGGCGGCGTAGGGGACTTCTGCTGCCTCAGACGCCAGGTCAACCCAGCGACTTCACCCCGGGAGGGACATTTCCGCGGACCCAGTCACCCCGCAGTGCGACCCTCGCTCCAGGGGGGTCAGGAAGACACGGAGTCAGTGTATCCCAAATTCGACCCTCCCCACCAGAGCTCAAAGCCCAATGGCCTCCCCGAAACCCCGCCGTTGAGAAGCGCCAATTTAGCCCCAAGCCGCCTACAGGGTTTAAAATCATTTCCCGACTCGCTCTGCGGCTCGACACAAGAAGATTCCCTCGCGCCGATTCCCAGTCAAAGAAGCAACTCATGTCGCCATTGTAACTGAGGGCAAGGTCGAGGGCCCTAGCTAAGAACGGTATTCAAGCACCCGGTATTGCGCTTCCGCTCTTTTCGACCCGTACGAAGCGTTCCCTAGAGTTCCGCCCTCAGTAAGCATGGCGGCACACCTCCCGCTCTGATTGGCCGTCTTTCCCGTAATCTTGGGCGTCTTTGGGCGAATGGAGGAACACCTGAGTTCCGCAGGCGATCTGTGTGTGTGGATTCCATTTCTCCGAACGTTTTGAATTTGCTCGTCTTACCCATTTTGAAGAACCGAAGTGGGCCGCCAGGTTTGGGACAATTGAAAAGCGGGACTGAGTTCCTCTCAATTTTTCGATTTGGTCTCCTGATCCTTCCGCGAAGAGTGGCAGGAAAAGAAGGGCGTGCGCCTGACGACCGTCATTTCCCACCTCTCGGCGAGGGCCTGACTTCTCACTGGCCTTACTGTGAACTCGTTCTCATCATCACTAAATGATTCGACGAGGATGAAAAGTTTTTTCCTTTACCCACTCAGCCCCAAAGGCATTACAATATCTAGTTTCTAGACACGTGTACGTGAATATTCCGCGGAGAAGGGCTTAATTGTTGGAGATAACAATGGGAACTCCTAGGTTTTTAAGATATTTCTGTGTATTTCCAAAACTAACGACCACCATCCAACACCGACAGCGTGGGATTCCTGAGAGGCTCTGGCCATCCTGTGGCTCCAAAATGCACTTCCATAACTGGTTAAATCGGCTTTACCCGGGTTTATCCAAACCCAAGGGAAGGACGACCCAGTTGATCTACGGTTCTCTATCCAGAAGTCTGGTGCTGAGTTCACAAAGGAGAAATCCAGGTGAAACTGTGTGGAGCACTTCCTTTTATTCTCTAAAGCTAGAATGCTATTAATGCTGCCTCCCCTCTAGTCTTAACTAGACAGCCTTGTGTGTAGAAGCAGATCATTAATGTTCTTCACTCTTTATAAAATGTAGGGGTTTTTTTTATTCTTGGCGTTTTTTAAAAAGGCCAGAAAATTAACCACATGGATAAGATATTTTACTTTTAGTTGATGCTACTAGTAAAAAACCTGAAAACTTCGTTCACACTGACAAGCATTGAATAGTGTATTCTGATTCATACTAAAACTAAACTGTTACTTTACTATCAAATTTTTGTAATTCCCAAGACACGTCACTTGAGGAAGAAATGCTCAGTGTTAGGGATAGGGTCATTTTAGATCAATGCAGATGCTAAATGATAAAAATTAGATTTCAAAAAAAATTGCATTAAAACAGTTACTCACTTGACTTTTGACACACTTGAATTTAACAATGATTCAGATTACATGTTTTTATAAATTTCATCTATTGACTTGAAATACCTAACACGATGTGATTTGAGAGTGCTTTTTAAACAGTTTGCAAGTAATGTGGTTTTAATCTTGTTCTTCTTTTTGTAAGAATTTAGTAGCTTTGTTGCCCGGACCAATACCTGTGGAGAGTTGCGTTCTTCTCATTTGGGTCAAGAAGTTACTTTATGCGGATGGATTCAGTATAGAAGGTAAATTAAGGCAAATGGTTTAAGAATTCCTGGTGATTCTTCTCCAAGTCAATTCCAAACCTTTATTTACTTTCACCAATCGAAAGAATAAAAGCTTCTGCAACTCCTGCAGGAATTTCAGTCATTGAATTTTCAGTTTTTGTATTTATTTTGAAAGGTCCACGCTGTTAGTATCAGTAATGAAGGTCCTAATAATTAACTTTGACCCACCAAAGGACTGAAATGAGCTTGGGTTTATGAGCTCCTAAGACCAGTAGTTGAGAATAGGCTAACTGTTATTAAACTTAGATAGAATGAAATAACTTATTTTATTCTGAATTTAGGTAGAGTTAAAAACCTAAAAACATCCACAGTGGGCCCTCCCTGGTGGCGCAGCGGATTAAAGCACAACACTGAGAATCTAAAACCGCTTCCGCATGAGTTCGATTCCCGCCTGCCCTGGAGGTGACCACATGGCGTGGCAGACCTCTCCTGACCCGCCCGCTGCTCCCCTCAGCAGTGTACTTCGTCGATCTGCCTGTTCTGTTCCCCACTCTGTCTCTGGTGAAGCCTCTCGCTGCCCCTGAGCTTCTGGCCTGTACCCCAGTTCTGTATGTACAAATAAAATAAATCTTTAAAAAAAAAAACATCCACAGTGATTCCTTAAAATTAGAACCCCTATTATTATTCATCTCTGTATTGCTGAACATACATGAATAGTGTGTTAATTCACAGCAATATGATCCAAAATGGATAAATTGTATTACCTCCTAAAGAGTATGTCCTATATGGGTAGATATTAGACCCATAAAATTGGTGATTTTATTATGATGTGAGGAGTTTTGCTGACCTATTCCTGATACTAGGACCAGTATGAGAAATATAGATTGAATTCTAAAATGTTGGAATTCTTTGAACTTTTGATAATCTATACAGATAGAAAACTGTTGTTTAGACCTCAAGGAAATTTTACAAACTTTTTAGGAAAAGGCCTTATATTGGTGTGTTTCAAAATGAAATGTAAGATGTTTCTTTATATCCTAAAATATTCTCTTTGGATTTTTATATGTATGGGAAGTTTGCCAATTTTGTGACATTTTTCTTATAAAGATCTAAGCCAGTCACTGTAGCATGAGTTCCATCCCCCACAAGGGAACTAACCCACTTGGTGCAGCAGACCTCTCCTGTCTTGCAGGCTGCTCCTCTCAACAATGTATTTCAGCACAACTGACTGTTCTGCTCCCCACTCTGCCTCTGGTGAATCCTCTCATCACCTGCACCTTGGGCCTACACCCCACTTCTTCTATGCAAAAATAAAATTTAAAAAATCTGAACCAATGAAATTTTTTTAAAATGTTTAAATATGCCTTTGTAATAATAAGCCATCTGAATACCATTAGTAACTTGCCTGTATATCTAATGAAAGTGTAAGTGGGAAAAGTTTGTGTCTTCATTAATAAGCTACATAGATAACAATTGCATGAGTGTAGCTAATGAAAGCATATATAATTTAAGAGGAACATGACAAATTGCATGTTTTTTGTTGTTTCATTTGTTATATTTGCTAAAATTTTGGACTCACAGATTTTGTCCTAATATGTCCATTTTCTTCATTAATCAGACAAAACATCTTCCTGGTTCTAAGAGATTTCCACGGGCTTGTTCAAGTTGTCATTCCCCAGGATGAGGTAATAGAAGGTGACCTGCTTATGTGAAAGTCTCTTTGATGCTGTGATTAAAGTAACCTAGATTATGTTAGATTAGTATACTTGAGGTTTTAGCTTCATTATTATTATTATTATCATTTCATTATTATTAATGAAAGCTAAAACTATCATCATAAGCAACCTTAAGACAAATGATAAACTGGAAAAAAATTATGTGCAACTAGTATCATAAAGGGCTAATATCTGAAAGTCAAAAAAAAACCAAAAAACAAAAAAACAGTGATCCAGTAAAAACATGAACTCAGAATATCACCATAAAATTTATAGAAAATTTCCCAATCTCATTCTAGTAAAGAAATTAAATTAAAACTAAACAGAGTTGTTAACTTTTGACACATTGGATTGACAACACAGTTGGGAAAAACAAGTGTACATTCCTGGAGGGAGTACAAATTGACAGTAGATCTATGGAGAGTCATTTAGTAAAATCAGTATTACAGATGCATATGTGCTTTGAACCATTCATCCCATTTCTAATGAGTTGTCTTACAGCTAGACTTACACAGATACAAATGATGTAAACACAAGGTTATTACTTGAAGGGTTAATTTTAATAGAAAAAAATCTGGGGAATGACCAGCATATCCCCCAGTAAGAGCTATAAACAATAAATCCATCCTTACATATAAATCATAGAAAAAGAACTAGAGTAGCTCTTTTTAAAATTAAAATATAAAATAAAATAACACATTCTTCTTGTAGAAGAATTGGGATATAGGCCAGAGGTGTGGGACCTCGTATAGGCTAGCTCCCTGTCTGGGGATCAAACTTGGACTGTAGTGATGATAGCCCTGAGAATTAGCCCTGAAAAAGCTCTTTTAGTGCTAATATAGGGAGGAGCAAGAGAAATCCAAGGTAGTGTGTATTTCATGGGGATATATATAAGAAAAATGGGCACAGAAGAGCATGTAGAGTGCTATCAACTGTATAAAAAATGGTGTGTGCATTATGAAATGTCCCAGAAGGATACAGAAGTATCTGGTAATACTGAGTACCTCTGGGAGAGAACTGAGGGCCTGGAGGACAAGCAAAGGAGGGAAATTTTCATTTTCTGTCTGACTGAATTTTGAGCCATGTAAAGGTAACCAAAAAATATCATTAAAAGAGATAAAGAACTCTAGTCATGCTTGTTTGGCAGCATTGGTTATTATTATACACGTTTATACAATTACTTGTATGCCTATGATAATAGTGTCAGCTCTCAGCATTTAATAAGTAAGGAGGAATGATTTCTCTTTTAGATCTAGATCATAGTTAACTCAGGAAAACTCATTTCACTTGGATTCCATTATTACCATTATTTAACTACCCCTAAGACTAACACTGGAGACAGTTCCCTTTAAAGTAAATGGTTGTTTGCAGTGAGTCATTCTCCTTACTTGACTTTAAGGAAATAAATTAAAATTCATAAGTAATTGTTTTACTTGCTGTTTTATTTGGAGCCATAATAGGAATGCTCTTTACCAAATCCTTTCATTAAGGGAAACTCCTGTATTTATGGCAATTAAGCTATGATCATTAATAGTTTTCTATCTATAAACAGTTACTACAGAGTTTAAATTCATTTGTCTCTTGAAACTGTTTTCTCCTCTTACTCTGCAGTCAGCTGTGAAGAAGATTTTATGTGAAGCCCCACTGGAATCTGTAGTGCAAGTGTCTGGGACAGTCATTTCGCGACCTCCAGGGCAGGAGAATCCAGTTAGTAACTTAACTATGTAAATGTTATCTGTGTACATTTACACTGTTTTGTTCATCTGTTCAGACAACAAAAGCTAAGCACTCATGGACATTAGGCACTAAAGCACTTTATAAGTCCACAAGTAAACCTACAGATTCAAAAATTGCACTACAAATGTACACACCTATATAACTGGGTATGTTAACACATTTGTTAACAAGTACCTCAGCCATGTAGCCACAGAAATGTCCAAATCATGCACAGAGCTGCTGAGGCACCTGCATATTTTACATACATAAACAAATGCATGAGTTCTACACACTCCTGGTTTATCCATGTCCTAATGAGTGATGATTTTAAACTGGTCTTTTATCTGTCTTTTTAAGAAAATGCCAACAGGTGAGATTGAAATCAAAGTGAAAACAGCCAAGCTTCTAAATTCCTGCAAGAAACTGCCCTTTGAAATTAAGGACTTTGTGAAGGTACAATCCTCTGGTATTAATTACATAGAGTATTTAGAATATTTAGAATATGTTGATGACTAGTAAGATATTTTTGGAGTTTTTTTAAAGAAAAGGTTGAACTTATGCAAGAATAAGAATTTTTTAAATAGATGTATCATGACTTGTTCTGTGAGCTCTACAATTTCTTTGCAAATTACACAAAATAGCAGCAGTTCAGTCAACTGTTATAGTTCCTAAACCACTAGATTGTGTTTTCAGACAACTTGAAACATAGCTCAATCTTTAAGGCTTAGGATATTGTTGAAATGTTTTCATTAGTGTTTTGCATTTTGGAAGGAAATCTATGTCTAGCTTGGAAATGTTCAAATGGTATAATGACATAAGAGATCTTGGATCTATTAATTTCGGCCTTTAAAGGTGATAAGATGTTTGCTTGACTTTGCAAGCATATAAATAGGATTAGTAAAGTTTGGGATGTTCTTTGCCAAAATTTGAGGAGGAGATGGAGCCCTAGATAAGTTTACCCAGATAATACTCAGCTCTCACAGAATTATATTTAAATCCATTACACAGTCGCATGGTCTTACATTTAAATTCCCAGTATTTAGTATTTAGTTAGAAAAAGCAATTAAATTTCAGATTTCACCTTACTGTGAAAAAAATAAGGAAATATACAGCATTCTCCCCACTAAGCTTCCAGAAAGAAAGTTTCAAATAGGTCTTCTATTTCTATTTATATTATCAAAGAAATAAACTACCAGAGAAATTATCTGTTACCTGGAAAGGACTTTTTGAGAAGGGTGTCAGTACAAGGAAAGATAAATAGTGTAGCTGTGGTGACTCTGCCACTCCCTTTCATTTCTCACACTGACATCTATAGTCCCATTCAGGTGAGAAAGTTGTAGCTATATTTTACTATGATGCATTGTTTTTATAGATCTTTGAAATCATTAATTTTTTTTTCTAGATTCAACTATCAATTTAAATGAATAGACAAATAGGCTGGCAAATTTCAATTAGTAAAAGATAAGATGGGCCCTCCCTGGTGGCACAGTGGGTTAAAGCACTGCACTGAGAATCTAAAGCCGCTTCCGCATGAATTCAATCCCCGCCTGCCCCGGAGGTGACCACATGGCGTGGCAGACCTCTCCTGACCTGCCCGCTGCTCCCCTCAGCAGTGTACTTCGATCTGCCTGTTCTGTTCCCCACTCTGTCTCTGGTGAATCTTCTCACCGCCCCTGAGACTCTGGCCTGTACCCTAGTTCTGTATGCACAAATAAATAAATCTTTAAAAAAAAAAAAAGATAAGATGTTAATAATAATAAATTGTAAAAATGTACTAGTAATAAACTTAGAAGTTGTAGGAATTAAGGATGGCAATGCATATACAAATTTGTGGACACTGAAATAGAGCTAAAGTTTTTTGCAAAACTCAAACTTTATCTAAAGATAGTATCCTTTTAACATTTGAAAAATTGCTAAACATAAACATCTTTCCATTTGTTTAGAAAACAGAGGCTCTTCGCTTGCAGTATCGCTACTTAGACTTGCGGAGTTTCCAAATGCAGTATAACCTGCGACTGAGGTCCCAGATGGTTATGAAAATGCGGGAATATCTCTGCAACCTACACGGTAAGGGAAAGGCCTGAATGTTCTGCTTTATTCAGCAGTTTTATTGTGTCCTCTCCTTACCATCATTGGTTCAGATGTTGACAGATGCCTGGAATTCTCTTATAAATCAGTTTTTTTAATTTCCAGATGTTTTGCTAGAGCATAATCTAGTAACTTGTTCCCTACTGGGTCATACATAAGCCTTTTAAAGATGACAGTACACATCAGATTGTATTTCCTATCACTATTAAAGGTAGGGCAGCCCATGGTTATCTTGAAGTTGTCTTAATTCTTTAAGGTGATGTATCATTTCTTGGTCAGCAAGAACATGTAATTTAAACAATTTGATTAGTCTTGTGTTATTTTTTGCTACACTAGTAAAACATCTAGGATATCAGAAATTTTTTTTTAATAATAGGTTATTTTTACATCATTTTGTGCATTCATTTTCCCATCTCAGTTGTAATCCCCGTGGGCTTCCCATCACCAAATCACCTGTGTGCCATCACCATAGTCCAGTGCACTTCCCTCCCCCCACTGTTTTTGATCCCATTCCCCTTTTCACCCCCATAAAATGTCTGGTATATGGCTGTTCATTATTATTATTATTTTCTCACCTGGTCCATTATACTCCTGCTAAGAGTGAAACCATTTGGTATTTTTCCTTTTCTTTCTGGTTTAGGAAATCAGAATAATTTAAGACAAAACTTCATCAAATAGTTAGAATTATTTTCTAACCAAAGTATCAACTTTATGAGTAGAAAGAGGTTTGGTGAAAAACTTCAGCTTCTTTCTTGGATTTATAGAAACCAGCATCAGTAGGTCTAGTAACCAACTTTAGTAGCAGTCACTATTAAAAGTAGCCTCAGATTTGTTGATGTGTACTATAGACATTATATTTGACAAATTCCTATGAAGGTGTAATATTTATCTTTTATAGGGTTTGTGGATATAGAAACACCAACATTGTTTAAGAGGACTCCAGGGGTATGTATATTCCTTAAATCACTGTACTAATAATGTTCTATTAGTTGTGAAACTGGACCACTTTGCTTGTACAGTCACATGGCTCATATTTATTTTACTACCTCAAGATGGTCTTATCAATTAGTTTTTCTTAAGAGTTGTGAAAATTTTATGCATTAGTATTTTGAGTCAGAATTCTTTTATTCAACATGAATTAGGAATTATTTGGTGGGCAAAAATTATTTTAGCTAGCATAAATTGGGAATTCATTGCAATGTATAGATAATCAATAGCTACTGTATATAAACAGTATTTACAGTCTACCATATAGAAGTCTTGGAGACACAAAAGTTGGGAACTTTGTTCTTTAGTTAATTTCTTTAATGAACTGAATTGAGTTTGTTTTTTTAATTATCTCTGCTTTCCTTCTCTCTCTTTAAAAGGGCGCAAAAGAGTTTGTAATACCATCCAGGGAGCCTGGCAAGTTTTATTCTCTCCCTCAGAGTCCTCAACAGTTTAAGCAGCTTCTGATGGTTGGAGGTTTAGACAGGTGAGCTTTATGCTTGTAGTTGTCACAGAAGAAAGAGAGGAAAAGGAGACACAAAATTGATCTTTTAAAAGAAGTCTAGAGGGCCCTCCCTGGTGGCTCAAGGGGTTAAAGTGCAGCACTATGAACTTATCCACAGCCACTGCAGCACAAATTCGATCCTGGGCCAGGGAGGTGACCCATATGGCATGGCAGACCTCTCTATCTCACCCACTGCCCCCCTCTGCAGTGTATTTATTTCAGTCAACCTGCCTGTTCTGCTTCCCACTCTGTCGCTAGTGAATCCTCTCACCCCCTGCACCTCTGGCCTATACCCCAATTCCTGTATGCATACATGAATAAATCTTTAAATGAATGAATAAATAAAAGAAGGCTATAAAATATATAAGAGTTTTAAAAATACTTTTAAAATACCCTTAAAAAGAGTAGTCATCGTTTTAAAAAGATTTACTGGATGACCACCATGTACAAAGCTCTATGCTATTACATGTTGTAAGGGGTTAAAAAAAAAAAAAAAAGATTGTTTTGCTTTATAAGAAAAGGAAAGTAAGTTACTAAGAGGTTTAAATTACATTGTTTGTGGAAATATAGAACACTTCGTGAGCAAGGCCTTTCTGCAAATGGAGACGAGAGTTGGCATGACATAGCATAAGGAGTTTCAAATATATGCATGAAGCAATAGGTGTTTCAATTTGACTAAAACAAAAGATAATGTAGAAAGAAATATGGACTGCCTTTCATGGCAGTCTGATATATATATGAATACCTAAAAGTGCTGTTCTGTATTTTTAAAGCAATTACATAGAATAATTAACTTCTCCTGGGTCAGCTATATATCTGATTAGATTAAAGCATCATAAAATATTTAGAAATTTCTTATGTTCTTTAAGCATCTAATTAATCAGTTTCAGAGCCTGACATGCCATGAATTTTGGGGGGAAAAGTGCATACTTCCTAAAATCATGACTCAGTTAACTATTTTTCAATTACAGATATTTTCAAGTTGCCAGATGTTACCGGGATGAAGGTTCGAGACCAGACAGACAGCCTGAGTTTACTCAGGTACTAGTTTATATTCACTTGTCTCTTACAGGTACAAGCTTGCTATAACCATGTATTTTAAGAAGAGGGTAGTAATCGTTACCTACTATAATATATCTTGTTACATTTTATCCATCAGATATTTAATTAAACAAGCCTGTAATTGAGGTTCTATTTAATTTTGATCCATTTCACGTATCCTTTTTATAAGGAGTTTTATAGTATGTTATCAACTAAGGAATGCCATAAATTCCTAGTTCATGGTATGATACAGTATGATTTTTTTATCATGGTATGATAAAATTCTTAATCACTTGTACTTTAAGAACCAACAATTCAGGCCCTCCCTGTTGGCTAAAGGGGTTAAAGCACAGCACTATAAGGCTGTCCACCCACTGCAGCACAAGTTTAATCCCTGGCCAGGGAAGTGACCCACATGGCATGGCAGACCTCTCTTGTCCCGCCTGCTCCTCTCAGCTGTGTATTTCCGTTAATCTGCCTGTTCTGTTCCCCACTCTCTGATGAATTGAATCCTTTTACCCTCTGCACCTCTGGCCTGTACCCGAGTTCTTGAATGCGTAAATAAATAAATCTTTAAAAAAAGAAAAAAGAACCAACAGTTCTGTACGTTGATATTTAATCTGCAGTTTCATAAAAGCTGTTGTGGTTTCTGTATGATAGCTTATTAATCACTGTGGTCAAGGACAAAATTCATAAGCTTTTGAGTAGGAGAGACCCAGAGTAAAATGTAGATTCAATATTTAGTAAACTCACATATACAGACAAGTTAACTTCTCTGAGCCTTAAACCATGACATAGTCATGGAACTAAACAAGTTGATGTATGTAAAGCATTAGCACAGTGCCTAATATAAAATAGGGGTACATGCCATGTGGGTCACTTCCCTGGCCAGGGATTAAACTCCCACCCATGTATTAAGTATGTATGTGCAGATTCCTATGATAACTGGAGAAATGATGAGTGTATACATACTTCTACTGTGACTGTTCAAGTTAGTTTCCATGTGTTATTTTGGTTTCAGATTGACATAGAGATGTCTTTTGTAGACCAGACAGGGATCCGAAGTCTAATTGAGGGTTTGCTCCAGTATTCTTGGCCCAGTGACAAAGATCCTGTGGTAGTTCCTTTTCCATCTATGACTTTTGCTGAGGCCCTGGCCAGCTATGGAACTGACAAGCCTGACACTCGCTTTGGGATGAAGGTACTTTTCTACATTTTTCCAGGACTCTGCTTCTAAATAGTTAGTTCATCAGTCTCTGAGTTACTTCAGAATTTACAATCACTTTCTCTTTTCGGATATTCTTCAGATATTTGTAACTACCTAATTCAAAGCACAAGTTATGGTTAAAGCTGGGAACTGTTAGATCATATTTTCTGTTATTATCAAACTATTGCAGAAATGATAATAGCATACTAGCATTACAATAGATTTTTTTCTATTTACTGTGTACCAAGAGTAGGGTTCTTAAAGGTTTTTTTTTTTTTTTTTTACTGACAACTTATTAACTATAAGAATATTATTGGTAACTTGGAAGGGGAAAAAATTACTGTTCTCTGTTTCTCTTAAGTCAAAATGACACTAAAAAGCAAGTAACTTAAGAGTTATTTCATTCTTTACTACTCAGCTGTCCAAAGTGATGAAACCATGTCTTTTGGAATAATATGGCTAGATCTTGCGGTGATTATGCGAAGTGAAATAAGTCAGACACCAGCTGGTTTGATTCAGTTATGCAATATAAATAATGGGGGAAAAAACTGGCAAAATACAACAAAATGCCAACTTAACCACTCCTCTTTTTTACTTTTGTTAATATAATAGTGTTTCTTAAGTCATACAACTTGGATTAAATTCTGGCTCTGCCACTAAATAATTGTGTCAGCTTGGACAAGGTACTTCCTTTTCTGTATTGGTTTCTTCATATGTTAGTTGGAGATAACAAGAATGCCCACCCCTACTCTGTTATCAGATTGATTTTAACTAGCATGTTTACATCCCAAATATTCATTCTAGCCTTGGTCATAGTGCCCATCCCAAACTCCATGAATGCACTCTGTTAATGTTCATTTACCAAGAGTTATACTCTTATTTAAAATGTTGCTTGTGAAATGTTTTGAGATAAAAATTACTTCAGGTATAGTTACCTTTCTTTGTTATTCACTTCCAGATTGTAGATATCAGTGACGTGTTCAGAAACACAGAAATTGATTTTCTTCAAGATGCACTTAGTAAACCCCAAGGAAGCATCAAAGCCATACGTATTCCTGATGGAATAGTAAGTGAAGCACAACTCAGTGTTTTCTCTAGGATGTATACTTTGGATGTAAATATGTTCAACACTGGCATATTGAAGCTTCAGAAAGAACAGTTCTCTGAAATATGTACTTTTATATAAAGTTTAACAGTGTCCCTAAACTTATAAGTAGGAAACAATGAAATCATAGAAGCACAGGTTTATACTCAAATCTCCAGTGTTTTTTCCTTTTAAATGATGAGCCTATCCTTCATCCAGTATTCTGTCTGCAGCTCCTATTTGTCCAAAAGCTCGCATCCTCATATCAGCTTCAGCATAGCCCTCCTTAAACATGTTTGTTCTTGGTCTAAAAGGACTTTGTTACTAATAGGGGAGGAGAAGGAGGTGAAGCTATGAAAATCAACAAAGGAAATGGGTGAGGAGAGACAATGTTTGGACTGGCAAGCATTGCCTCTAATAAGATAAGCTTATTTTCTGTACTTAGTATACCTGCTTTGACTGTAATAAGGAGAGTTCCCAAAGTATTTTGAATAAGACTACTATTTTAAAAGACTATACTCATTTAGATGCATAAGAATACTAGTATATTCAGAATGGGGATAAGAATTCAGTTTCACTAATTTCATTCACTTCTTATGTTGAATGGAAAATAATTTGGTGTCCATACTTGAGACATAATGAATGTGTTGAGGTAAGCTCTATGTGACATATAGTGCCTGTTATTATTATCTACCCCAATTGGAATATGTCCATTCTTCCCCCAGTAGATTATGAGAACTGCAGGGTTGTTAATTGTTTTCACCATTTGTATCTCCCATACCCAAGTAAGTACTCTAAGAATTAGAGTTAATGATAAAAACTGTGCTGTCTCACTTAGAAAGACATTGAGATAATTTAGGAAATATAAATTTACAGAACCTGAAATACTCAAAATTTTAATCTTTTTTATTATCTTAAAATTTTATTTTGAATTTTTATCCTGCATAGGTAATTTTCTGTGGAATATATCCATAGCTGTTTTCAGTGAGACCTTAATTGGACCTGTAATAAGCTCTATAACAACCTTTAAAAATTTGTCTTTTGGCAATTTGTTAGTTGCTGTGGTTAAAAATATCACTAATTAGTAGTTAAAACAACATACTCTGAATGTCATATAAAATTATATGACATTGAGAGTATCATTATTTTTAAAACATTGTCATTTGGCAGCAGAAATTAAGTTTTTATTGACTCCTACTATTATAATGGAAAGACACAAAGTATATATGTATCCTATTTAATATCATAAACACATTTATGAAACTCATATTCACTAGTTTCCTTTGGCTTTCTTTCATCAGAAATACTTAAAAAGGAAAGACATTGAGTCCATTACAAAATTTGCAACTGACCAATGTAATCAGGTAAGGAGTTAACTGGAGCAGTTTATTTCTCTTTCGTGTAGAGATTTAATTTTTTCCAGTTGGCACTTTGGTGGTAGGGGCAGTATGGCAACATGTGTTTGAAGAAGTGGGAACCTATACCCCTAAAACATATACAGTGCTGTAAACTATAGTTACCTCAATAAAAAAAAAAAAGAGTTAAAATAGAAATTCAACATTTTTAACTAATAATTTCTTGAGCTCTTATGATGTTATTTATTTTGAGGGTCTTGTAATTTCAAACCATTCTTCATTTTTCTTCTAAGTTAATTTACCTCAGGTATAATTGTAAACCTTCAACTCAGACAGTTGAATCTGCCATTAATGTGAATGTGAAAGTGCCACCTTAGCCTTTTTAAATAAACAAGGAATGTAAATACAGCTCATGTACTCAACCTTTTAATGAAAGTATCCTATAACCTTTTTAAAATTCTGGATACCTTTTGACAACCACATTTGCTTGCTTGCCTTAGAGAATGGTAGAATAAAAGGGAAGAACAGGAATGGACACTCTTACAATTGTCACTAGAAGTATGAATTATTTTGAAATCAATAATTTTTAAAAAATGGGTCAGTAATCTTCTAGTATAATTTATAACATGGTAGTATCATTTATAACAGGAATAAAATGAAACCATATGGGAATGATGAAATGCATTAGGTATAAGCAAAGCTTTAAAATTCCTTTTAAAACTTTGTCTTCTGAAGTTTGTAATATGGGAGAAATGTTCATGTTGTAATGATTTGTAAGAAAGGAGGGTAATACAGAATTTCATATACATTGCTCTATTATTCTCTTAAGCCAGAGCTTCCTGCCACTTGCTGCTTTAATCATTTCTATCCCCTTCACCTCCAAAATTTGCACAAATCTTTTCTCTGCTAATACTCCTTCCCACCCTTGACTTTCTTTTTCATTATTGTGAAATTACCTTTTCTTGTTCCTTTAGCATAATTTTATCCACTTAGTATCTTTTTTAAGGGCTGAGGGAAGGACTAGACATAACTTCATGGAGGCTCTCTGCTATTGGGAACAAGAAATCTTTATAATGAGAAAACTAAATCAACCCTACATTTTCTAAAAATGTGGATGTCTTTTTATTATAGGACGTCTTACCTGTATTCCTAAAAGCCAACAGGAATTGGAATTCTCCAGTTGTTAAGTTCATAAAGGCTGAACAAAAATCAGAACTAATCCGACTAATGGGGATCCAGGAGGATGATGTGGTCCTGCTAACTGCTGGAGAACACAAGAAAGCAGTAAGAAATATCAGCTCCAAGCATCTATGCTGTCGATGCTGTCTCATATCTCTCTCTACAGTGTGCATAGCACTTATTTGAAATTGACTGTTAATTTCATTCTGGTTGATAAAACCACATAGGTAGAGAGCTAGTGGTGTTTGTTGTACAACCATTAAAAAAAAGTTTTCAAGATCTTGCAGATTCAGAAAATTTAGTTGTTCTATACTTTTACATGTAGTACATTCCTGAAACTGTGGAGGGAGGGACAGATCAGACTGCCAGAGAGCTACTGGCTGCAGATAACCCATTCCCCACGTGGTCAAGGCAGTGTCAGGTGGTGAGTACACTCCTGGGGGAATGTATAGAAGACTGAATTCAGCATCAGAGACCATTGTCAAATGTGTACAAGTATGGAATCAAAGTCATGAATATGAAAACATACTATTAAAGGTCAAGCATCATATAAATTCCTTTTTGCACTATAGCACATAACCTGGTGTCCTCCTGTAATAGTGCTGATTAGTACTTCATCGGGTTCAGGATTCTAATTTGTATGCAAAATCTATTTACTTATCATTGTTTCTCCCTAGAGAAATCTTAGACCCTTAAAAGAGTTCTAAATTTGCTTGTACCTAAAGGTTTAATCTGAATTTTTCATCTCAGGACCAAGTATACACTCACCCACTCCCACCTTTTGACAGCTGCCTCACATCTTTGTCTCTGAGAGACTAATAAGGGTGTCTCCTCTACTAGTTAGCTAGTCCTTTCTCGGAAAATGGCCTGTCTTTAAAATCAGGTTGTGTCATTTGCTACCAACTCCTTTATAGCAGTTACTTCAAATTTGCTTTCCTATTTGCAGTGCTCTTTGTTGGGAAAATTACGACTGGAATGTGCTGACCTTCTAGAAGCAAGAGGAGTGTTGCTCCGTGACCCAACTCTGTTCTCTTTCCTTTGGGTGGTGGACTTCCCACTTTTCCTTCCAAAGGAAGATAATCCTGGAGAACTGGAGTCAGCCCACCACCCATTTACTGCTCCCCACACCAGTGACATTCACCTCCTACATGCTGAGCCTGAAAAGGTACCATACCTATATTTCCAGATAAAAAATGAAATGCAGATGGATGGAGCTGGAAAAGATCATGCTTAGTGAGATAAGCCAGAAAGAAAAAGAAAAATACCGGATGGTTTCGCTCATAGCAGGAGTATAATGGACCAGGCGAGAAATAATATGAATAATGAACAGCCATATACCAGAGACATTTTGTGGTGGTGGAGAAGGGAATGGGATCAAAAACGGTGGGGGGAGGGAAGTGCACTGGACTATGGTGATGGCCCATGGGTGACTTGGTGATGGGAAACACACGGTGATTACAATTAAGATTTTTTTAAAAATGCACAAAATGATGTAAAAATAAACTACTATATTATATATGAAAAAAAATGAAATGCAGAAACAAAGACTTCAGTTTTCCCATTCTGTCCCCGTTCTTGAAGCCTCAGAACTGTTGTATTTGAGCCAGTAGTTAATACAAACTCCACTAAGTAGCTACAGTATTTTCAATCTATAGAACAAAAAACCAAAAATTTTCTCTAACACAAAGGCTCTGTGACTCTTCTAGGTCCGTAGCCAACACTATGACTTGGTTTTAAATGGCAATGAGATTGGAGGTGGTTCTATCCGAATTCATGATGCAAAGCTACAGCATTATATCCTGGCAACATTACTAAAGGTAATATCATCTTCCAACCTGTCTTTTTTTTTTTTTTAATCAGAATATTTGTCCATTTTATTAAAACTCCTTCTGAAGAAAGGATTCATTAGCTATAGTGTCAACTTCTCTTGTTAGTGTAAAATCTTAAAAGTAAATGTTAATAACTGTTATTAGTGCTTTCTGTAGCCAGACATGTTTTAATCCTCACAGTTGCTTTATGAGATAAATACCCTTACTCTGCCCATTTTAAAGATAAGAAATAGGCAGTTTAATCAATTTGTTCAAGTCACATACCCAAAAGTAAGCAGAACCAGAATTTGAATCCAAACTCCTACAAAAATTATGTAGTCTGAAATTATTGAAAAGACAGATAATGCTAGAGAGATTGATTTTATTTTTTTTTAAAGATTTTTATTTATTTGTGCATACAGAACTGGGGTACAGGCCAGAGGCTCAGGAGCAGTGAGAGGCTTCACCAGAGATAGAGCGGGGAACAGAACAGGCAGATCAACGAAGTACACTGCTGAGGGGAGCAGCGGACGGGTCAGGAGAGGTCTGCCACACCATGTGGTCACCTCTGGGGCAGGCGGGAATCGAACTCATGCGGAAGCGGCTTTAGATTCTCAGTGCTGTGCTTTAACCCACTGCGCCACCAGGGAGGGCCGAGAGATTGATTTTAAAAGATTTTCTATCACCTAACAGATACTACTTTACTTGTATTTCAGGTAAGCAGAGTTTAGTGAGAGAGAATTGGATAGTCAGAATTTTTTTTTAAAGATTTATGTTAATATATAAGAACTGGGGCACAGGTCAGAGGTGTTGGTGGTGAGAGGATTCACCAGAGACAAGAGTGGGGAACAGAACAGGCAGATTGACTAAAACACACTGCTGAGGAGAGCAACAGATGAGAAAGGAGAGGTCTGGCCATGTGGGTCATCTGCTGGCTGGGATCAAATTCATGTTTCAGTGGCTGTGGATGGCTTCATAGTGCTGCTCTTTAACCTGTTGCACCACCAGGGAGGGTCAATGGTCAGAATTTTTAAGTCTATACAGGGGTGGGAAGATAATTTGCAATTTGTTGATGATTCTATAGAAAGCTAGGATAGGTTTCAAAAAGATGGCCCAAGAGCACCTGATTTTGTGGCATTAACTAACATGCGTGAAAGAACTTTGTGAGAGCAGGGCTGGAGAACTCAAGACCCCAGACTATTAGGATATGGTGTATATACACAATGGAATGCTATTCAGTTATAAAGAAAGATAAATTTTGTAAGAAAACAGAAGGAACTCCAGGAGATCATGCAAAGCAAAAATAGAAATTTTAAGACAAATACTTGATTTTAGGGCCTCCCAGTGGCACAGAGATTCAAGTCTCAGTACTATCTATTGCCAGCCATTGCAGCAGGAGTTCAAGTTTGATCTCCAGCCAAGGAGCTATCCTACATGGCTAAGTAGACCTCTCCTGTCTCGCTCTCCCACTGCTCCCCCTCAGCAGGGTCTTTCAGTAGATCCTCCTATTCAGCTCCCCACACTGTCTCTGGTGAATCTTCTCACACACACCCCCCCCTTTACCTCTAGACTAGACCCCAGTTCTTGAATGTATAAATTAAATCTTTAAAAAAAAAACCAACCTTTATTTTATCTATGGGTATAACATAGGAAATAAAGGAACAAAACAATATAAACTAGTGGAGGGACTCCCTGTTGGCACACAGGTTAAAGGCACAGCACTACTAAGCTAGCTCCAGCCACTGCAGTACAAGTTTGATCCCTGGCCAGGGAGCCAACCCACATGGTGCAGCAGATCTCTGGCATCACACCTTCTATTCCCCAAAGCAGTGTATTTCAGTAAATCTGCCTATTGTGCTTCCCCACTCAATCTCTGATGAAACCTCTCACCCCTGACTCCTCTGGCCTACACCCCAGTTGTTGTATACATAAATGAGTTAATCTTTAAAAAATAAATCAACAAGTGGACATTGATAATTGATAACTGAGTTGAGGTTACCGTAGGTGAAAGGGTAGAAGGTCAGAGCAAAGGTGATGGGCGTCTAATGGATGGTGGTGGGGGTTTTGTTTAAAAATTTTACAATAATAAATAAACACCAAACTCCCCCTTTTGATTTAAGGGAATTGTGGATTCCATTAATTTTTCTCCTCCCACTGCTCCATAAGTCAATTAAATAAAAAGCTTGACATTTGTTTCTTAAACGTACCCATATGATTCTGATCTGTACCCTGGTTGAAGAACCATTTTCGAAAGACATACTTTCAATATTTCTGTTTTGTCCCAGTTACTTAGTCTCTAAATCCAGTAGTCTGTTCCTGGGTCTCATTTGTCCTATCTCTAGCACTGGACACTGTTGCCCTTTTACTAATGTTCTCTTCCTTTTGTGCCATGTCAGTTTCCTACTTTCATTCTGCCTTTCTGAGCTTACATTTTCATGTCCTTGATTGGTCTTGTTTGCATTATCAGTGTAATAACAGCTACATTTACTATATGATTTCATAACTGTCACATTTAACGAGGGCCTCTCTCGTGGCCTAGAGGTTAAGTCTCAGCACTGTTACCGCTCTGGCCTGAGTTCAGTCCCCAGCCAAGGGGGGTAACCCACATGGTGCAGCAGACCTCTCCAGTCTCACCCACTGCTCCCCACTGCAATGTATTTCAGTAAAAATATCTGTTCTGGGCCCTCCCTGATGGCGCAGCGGGTTGAAGCACAGAACTGAGAGGCTGAAGCCACTTCAGCATGAGTTCGATCCCGCCCTGCCTCGGAGGTGACCACGTGGCGCAGCAGACCTCTCCTGACCCGCCCGCTGCACCCTTCAGCAGTTTACTTCAACGATCTGCCTGTTCTGCTCCCCACTCTGTCCCTGGTGAATCCTCTCACGGCCCCTACACCTCTGGCTTGTACCCCAGTTCTGTATGCACAAATAAATCTTTTAAAATATATATATCTATCTGTTCTGTTCCCCACTCTGTCTCTGGTGAACCTCTCACCCGACACTTCTCTCCCTCAAATCTTCAAAAGAAAAAAAAACTTCATGTTTAATAGCATGTCATATTCTTTTGTTAAACTGTAAACCTCCTAAGATTTTAACTCAACTGTATTTTCCTTTTAGCACTTATATTGTGTGGCACTTAGTATTTAAACTAATTATCTTTTTAATTTCAGGAAGATGTGACACTGCTTTCCCACTTGCTCCAGGCTTTAGAATGTGGGGCGCCCCCTCATGGAGGAATTGCTTTAGGTAAATAGTCTGTCCTTCCCTAACTAGTACTGTCTCCTTGGAGCGGGCATATAAGTGCATAGCGCAAACCCAAGAACTCGACAAAAATTTGATTTTATTAGGTTGTCAGGAAAATTATGACCTTTTTTCAATGCTTTCAAAGAAAAAATGTCATGACTTTTCCGACCATCCAATATTTTAGTGATATTTTTAATATATTTAACAGTTATAAAGGGAAAACTTAAATGATAGTTTGCATTTGACATTTTTTTTTTAAAGAATAAAATTATAGTCTTATCAATATTGTTCAAATCTTTGACGGGTCACACACACATTTAAAGAAACCTGGAAAGCAATGCTTGAAGAAGAGGGAATGTTTGGACCCTTCAGGTAGCCATGGTGGTTCACCTTGTTTATCGAGCATGGAAGAGAGAAATTCTAGGAAGCTCACCTGGATTGTCTGCCCTTCACCATAAGGACTTTTGTTTTTGAAGTCTCCTGCATAACGCCTAATTTTGTTCACCTTGTACCAGGGTTTTCAGTAAGCCCTTGTTAAGAACTTCATGGTTGTGACTATTAACCCCAGTAGCACATGAACATTAGTCCTGAGTATTTTTCCAGAGTAAGATAGAAAATAACGTCAACAACACAAGTGTCCCATAAAGGCAAGGAAATATGCTTGGCTGCAACTTGCTAAAGATTCTTTCAACATTTTTTAGAACTTTGATAAAAGCTCAGTCACTCTCAACCTTACATTCTCACCTGTTTATTTTTTCTATTTTACTCACAGGGCTAGACAGATTGATAAGCCTTGTCACTGGAGCACCAAGCATCAGAGATGTCATAGCCTTCCCAAAATCCTTCCGGGGGCATGACCTCATGAGCAATGCCCCTGATACTATCCCTCCAGAGGAACTGAAGCCTTATCATATCCAGGTCTCCTGGCCAACACACACAGAAGAGGAAAAGGGCTCATTGAATCATTCATACCATCCAGACAGTTGAACTTTCAGGTTTTGTCTTCTACTTTCCAAGCTTAAAATCAGATGTGTAGGTCTGCCACAGATCTGACAAGTCAAATCTTTAGGTGGAAGAAATCCAGGTAGCATTTATTACAATGAAGGGAAAAAAACTGAGTTGATGACATGCATTATTAGGACTATTTTGTTTGGAATTTTGAAGTTCCTTTTTACCTGGAGATGTGAAAGATGACTCTTTGTTGTTGGTGTGATCAGATGGCTTAATATTTTCCAATCATGTTTTTCATACTCAGATAAGATTGTTCACTTAGGTAGGACTAAATAATCAAATCATATGTGAAATGTGGGAAAATGCTGTTGGTTGATAGTTCACAAGCCAGGAGAATCCTGTCAGTTAAACTAGGTAGTGACATTTTGAATGTAGCAGAGATAAGAGAGAAAAAGGCAAAAATTGCTGAAGTCACAAAATCTGTGTTTGTCCTTGAACTCATTACATCTTTCCACCTCCTTTGCTGCTTATGACATAAAACAGTACTTACCCTGGCTACTGGCCAGAATCACAAAGATATATTAGAAAATGTGAAAATGGGCCCTCCCTGGTGGCGCAGCGGGTTAAAGCACAGCACTAAGAAGCTAAAGCCACTTCCGCATGAGTTCAATTCCCGCCTGCCCGGGAGGTGACCACATGGCGCGGCAGACCTCTCCTGACCTGCCCGCTGCTCCCCTCAGCAGTGTACTTCGTCGATCTGCCTGTTCTGTTCCCCGCTCTGTCTCTGGTGAAGCCTCTCACCGCCCCTGAGCCTCTGGCCTGTACCCCAGTTCTGTATGCACAAATAAATAAATCTTTAAAAAAAAAAAAAGAAAATGTGAAAATGCTTTGAAAAACTTTATAAAGCACTACACAAATGTAAGATATCTATTAACTGATACTAGTACATCTTTATGTATTTTAGTTTGATTAAACAAAACTGATTTATTGTAAAACAGTAATTTTGTGAACCAATATCTATTTCTATTTTTAAAAATTTCAAATATGTTCCCTCTATTATAGATAATTGAAAATATTAACTAACCTTAGACTCAAATGTATTAAAAACTCATTATATGATTTCAATTTCTGTGGACACATCTAATTATGAAATGGGAACAAGGCTTTAAGGATTTTGAATTTTTTCCTATTAATCTACTTTAACCTTGACATTCTTTTGATTGATAACTTATGTATCAGTTCTCTATCACTGCCTATGTTTATCAGTACTTTAAGCAATGCAATACTGTAATCTTTTGGTTTGAAAATGAATAAATTCAACTCCCTTCCAGAAGTAATCTATCATGCCTAAGACTTTGTTAAACAAAAAGCTGGAGCTTTCTTAGGTGCTTTCTCAAGTTGTCCTTCATGTCTTTTTATCCAGCCTCTCCCCATTTCTGGGTGTACTTTAAAGTCAGAAAGTCTTTCTGGCAGTGTCCTCATGGGAGACTTGCCTGCCTTTTTCAGTGAAAATTGTATAGGGAAATACAATTTTGAAACACCTGCCCTACATAGATGTCACCTAATTTATAAACAAAGTAACTTACTATTTATTAAAAAAAAAAAAAAATCCTGAGGCTGACCAAAATACTGTATTTTTATTCCTGGGAATGTGATAACAGACACCCAAAGCCTGGACACTATTTTCTAACCTACAAATACCAGTCTCCAGGTCCCAAATGCCAATCTGTTGTCATCTCAGACACCTTTATCACATTGGACATCATCAGCTTTTTTGGACCAGCTATCAGAGGGGGGTAGGGGGGAAGCTTATTCTAAAACCCAGGATGAATTTTTAAATATTTTCTCAAAAATTAAAATACTTAGTGACAAAAATTGAAAAACACAACCAGAATTCTGGAGTACACCAACCAGTTATAAACTGGAAGCCCAGTTTATTTCTTCAAGTCCAACCACCCGCACTTTGCAGATTTAGATTTCAAGGTTTAAAAACAAGGTAAGGCCCTCCCAGGTGGCACAACAGGTTAGGACACAGGACTACAAGTTGGCCACAACTTCTTCAGTGCAAGTTAGATCCCTGCCTTCAAGGTGACTACAAGGTGTGGCAGACCTCTCCTAACCCACCTGCTGCTCCCCTCAGCAGTATGTCAATCAGCCTGTTCAGCTCCCATCTCTGATGAATCCTCACCCTTGCACCTCCACCTCTAGCCTGTATCCCAGTACTGTATGCACAAATAAATCTTAAAAGTGAACAGGGCTAGCTCTGGTGGTACAACAGGTTAAAGCACTGCACTATGAAGCTCTCAGAAACCACTGCAGCACAAGTTCAATCGCCAGCCAGAGCTGACCCACATGGCATGGCAGACCCCTCCTGACCTGCCCGCTGCTCCCCTCAGCAGTGTATTTCAATCTGCCAGTTCTCCCCACTCTGGCTCTGGTGAATCCTCACCCACATTTGTGGCCTTTACCTCAGTTCTGTGAGCATAATTTACTAATTCTGGATTAGTACCCCAGCAAAAACATTGACCTTTCATTTAAGGACTTTGAAGAAAATAGGTCACTTAAACTGCTGTCCTAACTTACCTCTATCATACTGCATTTTATACCTGCATTAAGAGAGAAGCATGTTTATCTATTTCCAGTGTTAAATTTTATAAACTTCAAATCAACTTATTCTAAGAGCTGTTAACATTTCAAGGACTGAATCTTTAAAGTTAGAATCCAATATAGTAATCTTCCTAAAATGTACTCACAAGGACACAATGAAACAGCACATATTGAGTTGCCATTTCTGGTTTTGCAGTTAAGATGGACAACTCCATGGATTATTTCCATTTCCCTCAGCCAAGAATCTACATGGAGTTCAAAGCTGTTAGTACAATTTGGGAGTTGATAGCACTGAGTATACACCACCCCTAGCCCAGCACTTGAGCTTCCTGAAGTCTCAATTTGAGAAATCTGACCAATCCAACCTTTCCCTATTTCCTGTAAGATTTATGCATACAGGAACAGGGATACAGGTCAGAGCTAGGGAGGGGGGGCTCAAGAGGACTCAGAAAATAGTGAACAGAATAGGCAGGTTGAGCTCAGGTGAATTATCTTTGGAGGTTAACTTGCCGTCATTAAACATTTGACTTACATTAAGCAGTCAAAAATGTGTTCATCAAATTTAATGCTTCTAGCACACTTAATTATTTTAGTCATTACCTTTGTGAATTCATTTTAATTAGGCATATCCCCTAGTCACCATTTCACTGATAATAGGATACTGTGCTGCATTCCTCTTCCTCTGAACACATTACTTCACAAGCACATCTATAGGCTCATTCATACTGTACAGGATCTAAGAAAAGTAATTGGTGACCAAACACTAATTTTCTCTACCACCTTTCAAAATTTTGGTTTTTGTATTCTACTTTGTAAATTCTAGTTTTTGAAATCACCAGTTTCTTTCTGACGGGTTAAGAAACCCTGTAAATACACATGAAACAATTAACAATGGCACAGGGTGAGATTGCAAAAATGTCCCATTTTCCTTCCTTTATCCCACTGGATTAAAATACACTAAGATGTTTGTAGGAAATTTTTATTAGGAAAAAAATCAAGTCCATTACAACTAAGATGAAAAGACACAAAATGATGCAATAAACATTTTAAAAAATCAAGTCCATTTAATCTTCTATCCCACGAGCATCCATCCATCTATCCATACAGATCTCTGTAACAAAGAAGTCATGTTTTAATCACATTTCCATTATTTCAATATGGTTAATTTTGAATACAGAATATCAGATCTTTTATTGTCATCATATTATCAGTGAGAGAGTTCAAGTTGGGTGAGATCATCATGTATTCTGCATTAATTATCAGTGCTGATTGGTATCTTCAAGCCTTACCTTTCCACAAGCTCCATTACTGTCGTCTTAAATAACCTAGAGATAAAGACTCCACATTAGTCAGTTAAAAAAAAAAAACCACACCAAAAAGTTAGCAAACAAAGTAACCTCAGAATCAAAATGGAACGGTTTTGGGTGATATCATTCTGTTTCATTTGGCAGAATCATCACATCACTGGTTACACTGTGAATTGGCACATGTATATATAAGACTGACTTACCTTAAAATATTCAGGGAAACAGAAGGTCTGCCTGTTTAAGACAAAGAAGTCTTCATGTAAAATTTGCAAGATTCAGTTCTCTCCAATTTATTTATCATAAGTTATTTTTAATTGTTATTAACACTTAACAGGCAGTGAAACTTCTCTAAAGTTGGGCCAGCCATTATGTATTTGTGCAAATTTTGTGCAAATCCAGAATTTAAAGTTAATGCTCACGTAATTAGTATAAATTATCAATGCAGGTTTAAATGAGTCATTCAAGTTCCATTCTAGTAAATGGATGTTAGAAGTGGGGCTGGGTTATTAGGGCTTATTTCTTTGGTCAATTTTGTTGTAAATATAAAAACCATATCAAATTCAACTAGCAACAAATGCTGGTGAGGATGGAGGAAAAAGCAGCTCTCCTGCACTGATGGTGGGAATGCAAACAAGTCCAACCACTGTAGAAAACTGTCAAGTGGAGGTTCCTCAAACTGCTAAACATGGAGCTTCCATATAAACCAGCAATCCCACTCCTAGGTATCTAGCCAATAGACACAGAAACACTGACTCAAAAAGATACCTGCATTCCCCCCCCCATGTTTACTGCTGCTTTATTTACAATTGGAAAGACATGGAAGCAGCCCAAATGCCCAAAAGTGGATGACTGGATTAAAAAGATGTGGTACATATACACAATGGATTACTCAGCAACCAAAAAAAAAAAGTAAACACATGCCTTTTGCAGCAACATGGATGGAGCTGAAGATCACGCTTAGTAAAATAAGCCAGAAAGAAAAGGAAAAACACTGGATGGTTTCACTCATAACAGGAGTACAATGGACCAGGCAAGAAAATAGTAATAATGAACAGCTAAATACCAGAGACATTTTATGGGAATGGAATGGAGAATGGGATCAAAAACAGTGGGGTGAGGGAAATATACGACTATGGTGATAGCACATGGGTGATTACAACTGAGATGGAAAAATGCACAATAATGTAAAAATAAACTATTATGTTATTTTTTAAAAAGTAAAAAAAATTAAATTTAGAAAATTAATTCAGTATGGCTTATCTATTCATACCATTAAAAGCTCCCTCACAAATTAATCTGCAGTTCTCCAACAAACAGTTCTGAAACAGCACAGAGCATCTAAGTCAAACTCTGAACATTCTCTGGAATAAAATGGCTAATTTTCGTTTTCATGGTATAAACTAGTTGCCAGATACATCAGATAGGAGCGAAAGACTTAAAAGTGCTCATCACTGTTAGTCTGCTGAACTATGTAATCATCATTGTATCGGCTTTCAAGCTATAAAAACAAACTTATGAGCTTGAAGAAAACACTGTACCTTTGTGTTAAACTTCAGTGTCCCATATCTTGCAGCCAACCTGGCTCTTCACATCTGCAGAAATTCAGCTATACTTAGTAATAGGCAGTAAGGGCAGTAACTGGCATACTTGCAAAATTTCCAAGATACTGTTTCAGTTTTTAAAAATCTTCATACTTTTTCAGAGAGATTCCCATCTATTAATTTAAATCATCACCAACAGCATCTTGCTTTTTAGTAAAGATGTAACATTAGTAAGACACATACCTTTAAAGGTGTGCAAAGTCTGTACCTTAAAAAAAAAAAAAAACAAAACTTTATTTTCTAATAAATACTAAGAGTTGGTATGCTGAACTGTCACTGACTTGGCAACCCATGAAAATACAATTACTAAAATCAATGCATTGTACTGAAATACTAGAGGGACCAAGTTTTCATGTCTTACCAAGTAAGCTGTCCATAGGAGCCCCACAGCTAGAAAGTAAGTTAAAATAGGTCAGTAAAATGCCAAATAACACAATTCTCTAAGAACTACTTGCCCCAGGGTTCTCTTCAGTGATAAATTGAGTCTACATGCTCAATTCAGGTCAGACATTTGCTCAACATCATTACAAAAACCCCATCCAGCACATGCTCAGCTAAACAGCATTCATTAAACATAGGAAGTCTTTATGTAAATAGCGTGAAATTTCAGCATTTTACTTCAGCATTTTAAGTTCTAAGCGTAAAAAAAATACTTACAAAGAAAATGTTGGACCACACATGTAAGGCTCAAGTGCACCTAAAAAAAGAACAGTTTTGTAATAGACTTAAGGACAACTTCCTCATCAGATCTTTAAAAAAAAAAAAAAAGACAGCATCAGATAGAGCTAATTAAGACCCTCATGGTAAGTCAGTATTCACTCATCATCATGTAAGCTGCTTTTACCAACTGTGACAGTACCCTAGCAGTAACAGAGAGCAGGACCTGGCACTTAATTCAATGCATGCAGCATACCACTCAAGCCTACTTCATGGTACAAATGCTCCCTGTTCATTAGGAAGGAAAGCAATCCTAATCTGTCAGGGTCCTGTTTGGATTATAACTTTACTTACCATCTCATTCTCCAGCAAATTCATTTAGAGCCTATAACAATGGTAAAAAGATTAATATCAGGTTTGTTATTTGTACCAAATGGCAACTTTTAGTAAGTCCAGATACATCAGATAAATGGTACATTTCTTCATAATTCAATCTGCTGAACTATGCAACCATCATAGTATCTGTTCCCTCATTAAAGAAGCCCCATGGGTGGAAGCATCCCTAAATAACTAAATTACTGAGTAAACAGACCAGAAGTTACTCACTTGTTTGTCCATGGCTGTGTGAAGATTGTTATTTATGACCTGCAAAGAAACAGCATTATGTAAACCTAAGTGCAATCTTCATTTTCTCCATATCATTATTTTGAGTGCCTCAGTTAGGGATATGGTGGTTATAATTCTCATCATCTTCTCAATCAAGAGTAGCAAATAAATGTCATCATTGTGGCACATGGGGGGGGAGGTGGCTTTCAAGCCATCTTTTATTTGGTCAATTAAGTTAGTTCAGTAACTTACCCAGGAAGTTGTTCTCATCCCGATGGCACAGAACTAAAAGACAAAGAAAAACCCAATGAAGCCGGCTATGCTGCCAAGGGAAACAGTGACCTCTAAAGTGTTAAGCCTCAGAATGCAAGACTTTTCAGAAATCCCTTCTGACCACTACTCTTAAACCATCACAGGCTTTGAATGCCTTAAGACTTTTTTCACTAACACGTGCCACTAATAGTTTCTTACCTGTCCATCAGATGCCATCGTAAGCCACACAGAAGTGTTTAGCAGTGACTCTAGGGTAAAGATTAAAAGTTTTGAAATCACGTTGCACTACATTATGTTCAAACACGACGTTTTATACTAATGCTTTCCATTCTAAAAAACTGCACTGTGAACTGCAGAACCACGTGGTCCATACTTTTTTTTTTTTAACCTAAAGCCAAATGCTAAGGGTATTAACTGAAAAGTCACTAACGTGATTCGGCGTGCATCGCCATCAGAACCGTTGGCATTCATCAAGAGTCTCAGATGTCCCTACCAACGCTGACTTCATCAGAGGCTGTGCACGCGAGCTGAAGATTTTTCCGCAGTTCGGCCCAACATGAGTCGAATCCGCACTCTACCCGCAATCCTCCACCATCTTAACTCACGAGCTATGCAAATATTTGCGACTGGCCTAGAAATTCCTGCCAATTTAAAGAGACTTTAACTGCCAAAAAGATGGACTCCGCGACACAAAATGACCATTTGCAGCGACCATAAGATAAACTTACTTACGAAATCAAAGTCGACTCCTTGTAGCGAAAAGACCGAGATGGCGGCTAGGTGCCTGTATATAAGTCTTTTCTTGACGTCATGACGCACGCTCCCGTTACCGCAGGCTTCGACTCCTCCCCTTCTCCTCAAGCCCGCCTTCCCTCGTCCCCGCCCCCTCGACATTGTGGGCGGGGACATGAGTTCGCGCGTAACGCAAGGCTCCGCCTTCCCGCCGACAGATGAGGAAGAGAAGGGAGGGGAGGGGGCGCGAAGGACGGAAAGCGCTGGGGAAGGAGGGGGGGGCGGTGTAAGGGTGAGTGATTTCCTTCCGGCACGTCGCCCGCTTCGGGGGTGGGGATGGGGGGTTTCACTTCCGGGACGGTGTTCCGGCCCATTCCGGCCCATTTCCACCCCCGGAGGTAGGTGCTGCTCCTTGACTGGACTCGGGCCCCGCATGCCCGTCCGGCTGTCGTGCACCGGTGCCGCTTTGCCCGGGCCCCGCCGCAGCCTGCTCCTGGGGTTCTCAGCCACTTCCCTGCACCCTTCACCCCCAACCCCCAAGGCAGTGGGAGACCTTCCACCCCCTTGGCCCAGGGCCGGGCTGAGCTGCGGGACCCGCCCCCTTCCCGGGGGCCCCTCCTTCTGGACCCCGGGTTGGGCGGCCCCCTCCCCCACGCAGCCCGGACACACCCAGATACACACACCCACCTCTGGACTGCTCTCTGCCCGCCTACGCCTGCCGCCTGGACCGGGTCCCGGGGCGCCGCCCCCTTCCCGGTCCCTCACCCTCACCTGATCGCCAGCTCCTCGGCCGCTTGCCTTCTCCCCTCCCCTGCTCCTAGGTGGCATTGCGGCGCTTAGACAATTCCCCGCTCCCCATGCTTCCTAACGCCGGCGAAAGACTCCCAAGTCTTGGAGTGGCCAACCCCATGCCGTTCCCGATTCTCCCTCTTACAGCTCTCACCCCTCCAGTGCCGACGGTAAAGAAAGACTTTACTCCAAGGGCTTCCTTCTCACTGGGGAATTGCCGGAAAAAGCAAACAAAAAAAGGCGCTGGTGTAGGCTCCAAAATAAACATCTGAATTCATGATGGCATCGACAGTGGCTCTTAATGGATTAAAAGTTTCAAAACAAACAAAAACGCTTTGGAAAAAGGTCAGATTGGCTAAAGTTGGTATTTGAAAGCAGTGTATACACTTCCCTGTTAACTGATAAGTATATTGTATATTATGAGCTTGAGGTTTCAGTTTTTAGGTTATTCTGAAATGCCTAATATTACCTACAGATAAATGGAAGCACATTGGTTTCAAGTCAGTGTCTTCCTGTTGGTATTATACAGGTTATTGACCGCCGTTGGAGACTGTTGGATGGAATTATAAACTATTAGCTATTAAAGAAAAATGTAAAGATGTTGACCATACTTGGTAAATGCTCTATCTTTTTGCCAAGTTTGAAAACTAAATTTCAGAATCAAAGTACCCTAGCACACTCAACTTTGAATTTAAATACCGGCAAGTTTTTGCCTTTCCTAATTCTGAGAATGGAGTTCATCAAATTCTCTGCATCCTGATTGAGTCCTGACACAGCTGTCACATTTTTCCTCACCTACAGTTTGTCTGTTGTAGACTTTAAAGCAAAGTCTTTTTTGTGAGGGCTCTGACTCTTAAACTTAGAAATAAGTTTACATTCATGTGGGTTATTTATTTGTCACTTTATAAAATAATAAACATAATCTATGCGGTTTTTAAAGAAATACTGTGAAGTAGTATAAGTAAGCAGTCCATCCCAGTGTAACTGCATTTACTCAAAAAGCTTATTTTCTGTCCACTAAAAGAAAATTGTCTCCAGATTTTATGTTCAGTATACCTTATGATTAATACTTTTAAAAAGAACTGTCACACCTGCTTTTTCTCCTGTCCTTTCTTTTATTCTGTTGAACTTCTGTTTTGATATTGCCTATCTGCTTTTTCTCCTGTCCTCTATTCTGTTGAACTTCTGTTTCGATATTGCCTATCTTAGTAAGGAAAGTTTGGATGTAGCTTGAATTTTTAGAAGTCTAGCATCACTTTTTGGTTGTAACTATAGCTCGTTGAAAAAAATGAAACTAAAAATCTTGCTGGTACTTCTTTTCCATATTTTAATTGGAGATTTTGAAATTTGCCAAATGTTTTGAAGTGATTTTGAATTGGAAAGTATGAGGGGAGTGAAATCATAATTATTAACAAGAGTATGACTTCCTCTTTCAGCAGGGTTGAATGCCTGCCTGCATCCTCAGGCACGACCATGGAGAAAGGTGGGAACATACAACTGGAGATCCCTGACTTCAGCAACTCTGTCCTGAGCCATCTAAATCAGCTGCGTATGCAGGGCCGTCTCTGTGATATCGTGGTCAATGTACAAGGACAGGCTTTTCGAGCTCACAAAGTGGTACTGGCTGCCAGCTCCCCCTATTTCCGGGACCACATGTCCTTGAATGAGATGAGTACTGTCTCCATCTCAGTCATCAAGAACCCTACTGTTTTTGAACAGCTCCTTTCTTTCTGTTATACAGGGCGAATCTGCCTGCAACTAGCAGATATCATCAGCTACCTGACAGCTGCCAGCTTTCTGCAGATGCAGCATATTATAGACAAATGTACACAGATCCTGGAGGGCATTCACTTCAAAATTAATGTGGCTGAGGTTGAAGCAGAATTAAGTCAAACAAGGACAAAGCATCCCGAGAGACCTCCAGAGTCTCACAGGGTTACACCAAATCTAAACCGCTCTCTCAGCCCACGACACAGTGCTCCAAAGGGAAACCGGCGGGGTCAGGTTAGTGCAGTGCTGGATATCAGGGAGCTGAGCCCTCCAGAGGAGTCCACCAGCCCTCAGATAATTGAACAGAGTTCTGATGTAGAGAGCCGGGAGCCTATTCTACGGATCAACCGAGCAGGACAGTGGTATGTGGAGACAGGGGTAGCAGACCGAGGGTCCCGGAGTGATGACGAAGTTAGGGTTCTTGGAGCAGTACACATCAAAACTGAAAATCTGGAGGAGTGGCTTGGGCCTGAAAATCAGCCTTCAGGAGAAGATGGAAGTAGTGCAGAAGAGGTCACAGCCATGGTGATTGACACCACAGGCCATGGATCTGTGGGACCGGAAAATTATACTTTAGGGTCTTCAGGAGCCAAGGTGGTTCGCCCAACCAGCAGTGAGATTGACAGGTAAGATTTGTTTAGTTTGCCCTTTTAATGGTTGTTGTGTAGCTATCGCTAATGCAGGCCCTCTGTGTGACACAGAGCATTTTTTCCTTTTTGTTCTTAACCAAAATAAGTTGATGTTGGGGAAATTGGAAGTATACCAAAAGACTTGCATTCCTATTTTTTTAAAGCAGGAAGCTTCTAGTCCTGAAGTATTCAGTGTTGTGAGAACTGTGTTAAAGTTAGACACTTCCATGAATCAGAATAGCATCTGCAGCCACACTAGGATCAGTATTGGCCAGGGCTTCCTCTGGATTCCAGGCAGGGAGCTGAGCATCCGCTGGGAACCTGGCAGCTTTGCCCTCCCATGGTATGTTATCACACAGGTAGGTGCCTGGGGGTTCACTTTCCTATATAGCATTGTTTACTTTTCTTTCCTCCCACTACCAATTAGGGGATGTATAGTACCAACAGTGATTTTCTTGTCAAATTAGTATGATCATAGTGATTTCAAAGAACGACTTCCTTTCTTCACTTGTCATTTGAGCCTGACTTCCCTGTTTTCTTTTACTGCTGACTGCTGCTAAGAGTCTCTTTTTCCATGTTTCCATGTCCTATGCCATATATTTCTCTTTTCTAATTCAGTGCAGTTGTTAGAACATTTCTTTTTGGTAGAAATGGCACTAGCTTTAACCTAAGGCAAGGGAAAGAAAGAAATACCACCAACTTAGATTAATAATATTTGTTCTTGTCCTCTCAAAATTAATTAAAATTGGCTGTATGAAGAGTGAAAGTAAAGATGCTATTACTTTGGTTCACATTTGGTCTTGAAAGATACATACATCACAGCTTGTGGTTTAGGTGGGCTTCTGTCCTTAATAGTTAAAATATTCTTGGGCACTATAATTATTGTCCCCTTATGTTAGAATTTCATCAGAAATAATAAATGCAGAAATTTGTAAACTATGGTCTATACCAGCAGTTTAAAATATGTAACAGGGTATTTTGGGACCTCAGGAAAGAAGCAACTAAAAACCTAATAGAAACAAAATTATAAATTCAGTTTTATTTTTTATGGTAGTACTAACATAAAGATAGAAGATTTACTTAGTTGTAGCTTCACCAGGCCCTATGGGCCATCTGCTTTGTTATTTTGTTTCATAAATTTACTTTACTAGTACAAAACTTTCTCACTTAAAGTCAGATCTTTACCAACTCCAAAGTCAGATCTTTACCAACTCCGTGACAGTATTTCTTAGTAATCTGTTGTTTAGTTTGTTCCCCTTGCCTCAGTCATGGGTAGTGAGTATAAAGAGCATTATTTTTCAGGTTCTTTGACACTACTTTGCTATTAGTCTCCCTTTTTTATCCCTCTTCCGACAGATTTAGCCCCTCTGGCAGTATTGTTCCCTTGACAGAGAGACACAGAGCCAAAAGTGAGTCTCCTGGGAGAATGGATGAGCCTAAGCAACCTAGTTCCCAGGTATGTAGTTTGGATTTACGATTCATGTATTGGAGCTGTATTGAGGTACTGAAGATATTGGCACTGTGTGTGAACAGAATGTAATGCTAAGAAAGGAGATGTAGGAAAGGTGACAGTGGCCCTGTTAAATACATAGACTTTTTTTTGTTGTTATTATTTTTTCCCTCCTCTATTCTTACTTCTGAGCATGCAGAAGTATATATACACTTTTGATATAAACAGATTGGGAAATAGGTAACAAGATGTGGAACTCTTTCCCGATTATAGGAACCACTCTGTAGTCTTGAGAGTAATAAAAATAATCCCTGAAAACCACATGCAGGCAATTTAGGTTCTGGGATAGAGAGTCTGATTTTGCATCTGTGGGGACTTTATAGTTACCAATTTATATGGTATTACACATTTGCGCAGAATTGTTTATGCACTTTTGTGAGTTTGCTCTTTTATATTTCATCTTTTTTTTTTTTCTGAATCTAAATGTTATAGAAGATGTTGAACAAAATGATCTTTTCTGTTATCTTTGCAGCTCTTCTTAGCAAGAAGTGTGAGTAGTTGGTTGATCTTACCGGTTTGTCTTTTCCTCACAAGTGTATTATCATTGAAGACTGATTTTTTTTTTAAGCTGGTGAATTTACCAAGTAGAGCACAATAAGTTGTAAACACTTTTACTCTTTAAAATGAAATACTGGTAGATTTAAGATTGCATCTAATTTTATTAGCTTTTGTGATATTTATATCTTTAGATTCTTAACTAATCTTTTACATGTTTACTACGTACATAGTATAGTAACAGCAGCCAGATATTGTTATAAATTGTATTTGCATATCATCAGGCTGGTTTTTTTTTTTTTTTTCAGTACTAAGAAAGGAACTGTGGTTGTTACAAGGGAATTTTTTTGTTTTAATAAGGTATCAAAGAAGTTACAAACTTAGAGGAAAAGTATGCTTTTCTTCCCATCTCTCAAATAGGTTGTGATTATTATGCAAGTAAATTGTAATAGACAGATTTTACAGCTATGGGGGTAAAGGGGTGGAGAGGCAATAAGTTTAACAAATACACAATTACATGTAAACTATTTAGATTTTAGTAACAGTGATGTGGGAGTAGAAGTGCTTAAAAGGGAATTTCTGGAATCAGTATCCACTTCAGGAGAGTATACTTTTTAATAAACAGTAAGAAAAGGATAAAATAATCCCTGTTTAGATGGGGTAGAGCTAAAAATTGGAGTTCTCCAAGGGTGTTCACCTGACTGAAGCAGAAGGTACAAGCTACAGAGAAATAGCAAGACTAATATTGTCTAGAGAAGATACAAGAGATGAGTTGATATATGCTTTGACATATGTGAAAGTTTTATGGTAAATCTCCTTACCACAAAGAACCAAAACAGAACATGGACCACATTACACATCTTGATAGACTGAAAATTCCTGATTATTAGGGTGAGCAGACCCCAGAACCCTAAGATTACTCCTTTACCCAAAAACATTCTGCTGTTTTTTCTTTTGAACTGCATGAAAGTTAAAATACTTTGCCCAATTTTCCAAGTAATTTATAGTCTTTTTAACCCAGCTTTTCCTACCATCAGCATCCACTCTCTGTCCCAAGCAGATAGACTCTGTGTGTCAGAAACACATGATCTTCTCTGGTGTCTGGGTCACCCAAAGCCCAACTCCTGGTTCCATCTGCACTAACTAGCGTGGTTCTCTTTATTCCCTGCTTAAGCCACTATGCATTTACAGATGACATGATATAATTTTTCCTAATTCTCTACTTACCATATAAAGTATTCTTATTTGTATTAATTCTGTGTCTTCTATGTTGAAATCTCTTTAAAAGCAGAGTCTTCATTTTCTTTCTAATTGACAAATCTATTATCAGGTGCCCAAAAAATAGGAGTTGTTTCCTTCTGAGTCATTTTACTTTCAAGTTTACTCAGTAGGTATCCAATAAATATGTACCTACTAAATAAGGTGTTACTTAGATGTTTTTGGAATTGTTTTCATGTGAAATTTTTCTACTATTTCTTTCCTTACAATTTACAATTTCTTTCTCATCATTTTTCATGCCATGATAAGACATTCTTGATTTACACAGATAAAGAGTTGCAAATGGTTTTTAAACAGTATATCTGTACTATCTTACTACATACAGTTTCCAATAAAATTGTTGTGGAAGCGTGAGAAAGAACAGCATAAATCAAATGGTTTAAGTCCCTTCAATTCTTTGAATTGCTGTTTAGTAATTGGAAATTAAGATGATGGACACCTTTGAAGGCCATGTGAAGAATCAGACTGGTATTAGTTTAATAAAATATGGAAATTAGTCATTAAAGTGGAACTTATTTATGTGGAGTAAGCCACTAAAAAATAGTTATTGCACACCTACCACTGGTCATATTTTAGGATATTCAGCAGAGCAGAATCTCCTGGTGCTCACTGAGCTTTCAATCTACTTGGGAATTGCCATGGGAGGAGTGAAATGATCCACCACTTAGCAACAGACCCAGGAGCCTACCATTTTGACAGGACTTTCTAAACATTTTATGTTCATTGATTTACTCTTTTGTGCAACTTTACTGTAAAAATTTTTTAGGTGAGATCATAATGTGAGTTTATGATTACAGTTTATCTTAGATAACTCAATAAAATACATTTACTTTCTTTTTGTGATAACACTAGCTTGACATTTCTTTCCTTAGAAATGGGCAATTGTTTTTTGTTTTTTGTTTTAAGATTCACTTATTTTCGCATACAGAATTGGGGTATAGGCCAAAGGAGCAGGGGCAGCGAGAGGCTTCACCAGAGACAGAGTGGGGAGCAGAACAAGCCAACTGACAAGTACACTGCAGAGGGGAGCAGCGGGCGGCTCAGGAGAGGTCTGGTGCACTATGTGGGTCACCTCCTGGGTGGGGATCAAACTCGTGCTGAAGTGGCTTTAGATTCTTAGTGCTGTGCTTTAATTACCTCTGTGCCACCAGGGAAGGAGAAATGAGCAGGTTTTTAAAGGGAATTTATGCCTTCAAGATTATGAATAATGAATAATATCATGACTTTATAATATTTGCCCATAGCTAACATTCATTGAGCTACAGTAAGCACTTTAATTAGCTCATTCAGGTACCTTTGAGATAAAGGCTATTATATTCATATACAGAATAGTTAAATATTGTTCTTATACCTTCCAGCCATTAGATGGGAGGAACCTATCTTTATGTTATGTTTTAGCTACAATGACTATTTAGGTTATTAATGTTAGATTAGATAAAATAAAGTTAAGGATCTATTTGATCACTATTAAATTACTGGGGCCTTTTTTAGGCATAATGGTGGGATTTTATGATATTAAGAAAAAAATCTTTATTTGGAAGAACATAGTAGGATTACTTAGGAATGAAATTATATTTGGGATTTTCTCCAAAAGTGGTATGAGAAGAAGAAAAATAGGTGAGGGTAAATAAAAAGCAGTTATGGGTAATAACAAGTTAACATACATTCTGAGAGTTTTAATAAAAAGTCTTAACTATATCGGGCCCTCCCTGGTGGCACAGCAGGTTAAAGTGCAGCACTATGAAGCTGTCTGCAGCCACTGCAGCACAAGTTTGCTCCCCTGCTAGAGGGGTGACCCACATGGCATGTCAGACCTTTCCTCACCTGCCCACTGTTCCCCTTAGCAGTGTATTTCAGTACATTTGCCTGTTCTGCATCCTACTCTGTCACTGATTCCTCTCATCCTCTGCACCTCTGGCCTGTAACCTAGTTCTGTATGTATGTATAAATAAATCTTTAAAAAAAAGTTACATTATCTGACTTTCATAAAGTAAATAAAAAAAATTTTTTTAAATAAAACAAATCAAGAGAACAAAAGCAGTTGTTTTGCACTAACTTAAAGGAGTAGTTATCTAGCAACAGAGTTCTAATGTTACTTTTATAGTTACTGCTTCTTTAGTGTGTGAGTTTATTATCATGTAAGAAATTGGGAGATACTATATAAAACTAAGAGATTGGGATCCTCCCTGGTGGCACAGTGGGTTAAAGTGCAGCACTATGAAGCTATCCACAGCCTCTAGCCAGGGACCATATGGCACAGCAGACCTCTCCTAACCTCCCCTCAGCTGTGTATTCAGTACATTTGCATGTTCTGCTCCCCACTCTGTCTCTGGTGATTCCTTTCACCCCCGCACCTCCCTCTGGCCTGTACCCCATTTCTTGTATGCATAAATAAATCTTTAAAAGATAAATAAACTAAGAAATTGAAGGAATAATATATAAATAATTATTTAATTTGCTTAAATCATTTTAAAACCACTATAAATAATAAGTATAAAATTAGATTATAATATATTTCTGTTCTGTATTTTTTAATAATATAATAGTTTATTTTTACATCATTTTGTACTTTTTTTTTCATCTTAATTGTCATCCCCGTGGGTTTCCCATCACCAAGTCACCTGTGTGCCATCACCATAGTCCTATACACTTTCCTCCCCTGTTTTTGATGCCATTCCCCACTCCACCCCCACAAAATGTCTCTGGTATACAGCTGTTAATCATTACCATTATTTTCTCGCCTGTTCCATATATTCCTGCTATAAGAGAAACCATCCAGTATTTTTCCTTTTCTTTCTGGCTTATCTCACTAAGCATAATCTTTTCCAGCTCCATCCAAGTTGCTGCAAAAGACATGTGTTTCTTTTTTTTTGGTTGCTGAGTAATATTCCATTGTATATATGTACCACATCTTTTTAATCCAGTCATCTACTTTTGGGCATTTGTGCTGCTTCCATGTTTTTCCAATTGTAAATAAAGCAGCAGTAAACATGGGAGTACAGGTATCTTTTTGAATCAGTGTTTTTGTGTCTTTTGGGTAGATACCTAGGAGTGGGATTGCTGGGTCGTAAGGAAGCTCCATGTTACGCAGTTTAAGGAACAAACCTCCAAATAGTTTTCCATAGTGGTTATACTAGTTTGTATTCCCACCAGCATTGCAGGAGAGTTCCTTTTTCTCCACATCCTCGCCAACATTTGTTGTTGCTAGTTGTTTGAAGATGTGCCATTCTCACTGGGGTGAGGTGGTATCTCATTGTGGTTTTAATTTGCATCTCCCTTATATTTTTTTCTTATACTTGCTGGCCATCTGCATTTCCTCTTTGGAGAAGTGTCTTTTTAGCTCTTCTGCCCATTTTTGATGGGGCTGTTTATTTTTGTTGAGTTTTGTCAGTTCTCCATATATTTTTGTGATCAGTCCTTTATCATCTGTTCTGTATTTCAAGGAAACTAAACATTAGTAGAATTTTGGAAAGTAAATTAGCAGTATCATTAGGAATATGTGTTTTCTATTTCTCTATTTCGTCTGTTTTTTGTTCATGAATTTTAATCATGTTCAGAGGGCAAAATCAAACAAGTCTTAAGCTTTTCCTGTGTGGTACCTATCATTGTCATTCAGTTCAGTAAATATTTACTGAGTATCAATTTGTGAAAAGGTTGTAGGAAGCAATATCAAGTTTGTTAGTCATATCTTAATTTTCTCCAGCTCTTTTTGCCAGTTTGCTGAAGTCGATTCAACATTGAGTTGTCTTTAGAATGAGAATAACATATTGGTATGGTATTTACATATTCTTGGGTGAAAAGGATACTGTTGCCTTAAAATAAATGACATACATTTTTCTAAAGCTTCTTATTATTTGGTATTAATGATAATGCCGTAAGTGTATTTAAAATGTGTTTACCATAATGTATTCTATACTGTCAGATATAGTAGTCATTAATCACATTAATTATGGTTATTTAAATTTAATTGAAAGCAGTTAACAATTAAAAATTCATCTCAGTTACACTAGTCATATTTCAAATGCCAGTAGCCACACATGACTAGTATTAGATGGTGCAGATTGTCAAAGATTTCCTTCAACATCACAGAAGCTTTTATTGAATTGGCACTGCCTAAGTACCTACTTGACTGCGTAGACTATAGTTGCAAAATTAGAATCCAAGGAGTATGGTGCATAGACTCAGATTCATCTATAGTTACTTGTAAAATAGAATATTTAACAAGGGTTTAATAAGCACAATCATCCCGAAAGTAACTTTATTGTGTTGCTCTTTTATAGTAATGAACAGTTTTTTTAAAAAGTAATATCTTATTTTTGGTAGTAATTCATGTTTAGATTGCTACTAAAAATAAGCATTTCATCTACTAACAGGTAGAGATATATTTGATTTCTTTAATATGTACGGTTAATGGCATTCTTAATTTCCTCACCTGGCACAGGTAGAAGAGTCAGCAATGATGGGAGTAAGTGGCTATGTGGAATATCTCCGAGAGCAGGAAGTATCTGAGAGGTGGTTCCGATATAACCCCCGTCTCACCTGTATCTACTGTGCAAAATCTTTCAACCAGAAGGGGAGCCTGGACCGCCACATGCGCCTACACATGGGCATCACACCATTTGTTTGCCGCATGTGTGGCAAGAAGTATACTCGGAAAGATCAGCTGGAGTATCATATCCGCAAGCACACAGGCAACAAGCCCTTCCACTGTCATGTTTGTGGCAAAAGTTTCCCCTTCCAGGCCATCTTAAATCAGCACTTTCGCAAAAACCACCCTGGCTGTATCCCCTTGGAGGGGCCCCACAGTATATCCCCTGAAACAACTGTCACATCTAGAGGACAAGCTGAGGAAGAGTCACCTTCACAGGAAGAGACAGTTGCTCCTGGGGAAACCGCCCAGGGCTCTGTGTCTACCACTGGGCCAGATTGAAACATAGAGGGGGAGGGGGCAGACCCTCTTCCCCTTTGGGCCGTAAGCTGCCAGCATCAGGGCCATGGGCTGGTACTTAGATTCACAAAATGCCACATTACTAGACCGGAAGATGCTCCCAAGATGTTGCCAAACTAGAGGATCAGCAACATATACAAAAGCACTTAAGGCTCTTCCCCTCCTCCTTCCCACCTCACACTTTGGAAAGTAATCAAGCAAATCAACTTTATAATTCAGGGATCAACAGCCTTGGTTTGTTAACTTTATAAGAAAAAAATTTTTTAACAAAACAATGATAAATGGTGATTTATCTACATCATGTTTAAATACTGTACTTTGGTTCATATCATCATGGTGGCTATAAATGCCCCAAAAAAAAAAAAAATGCAGCAGGACCTTGGTCATCTGAATCAGCTGCCACAAAAAAGAAGGAAGTAACCAACGTGGTGATTTTAAGGAGGAGTTTCTCCTGTTCCTTCCCTGCCAGGACATCTGGTTTTATGTTCAAGGAAGAAGAAAAAATCCTAGTGGTTCTTATTTTGAAAGGTTAAACCTCATCTTTGCCCTGACTAAGGCACCTGGTACTTTGCCTCATTGGTTCACTTAAGCAGCCATCTTGGCACAGTGTTCTGGTGGGTAACAGCGCCTGAAGCACTTTAGGCAGCAGGACGTGAAATGCTCGGTAAAGTATTCCCAGTCCATACTGTGCATTTTGGAGTACCTATTGTCTTCAGAAAGAGGGGAGCAGGGAAGGAAATGTTTTTGTTCTGCAAGTATGAACAGCACAGAGCCAAACTGTAACTTTCTGATTGGTATCTGTAAACCATATATCTTTGGGTGTTAGGAAATGGCTCTAGTCCAGATGAATCATTGTGTTAGGCTGACTACCAAAGTTTCATCCTATCTCTTCAGCTAGTTTCACATAGCAGCAATATTGTACATCAAAATGTCACTTTCCAGTGAAATGAGCCTGGATTATATTTTTAAATCCACAGGTGTCCATATTTGATAACTTTTATATGAAGTTTTAAACACATTTTTTCTGCAATATTGTGGTTGAAGAAATTCAACACTGGTTCTCAACCACAATTCCATTTCCTTCTACATATGGAATAGTTTATATTTTCAGTCCTATATAAGACCTCACTAAATCTGTCTCATGTCTGCAAACCTAGTAATTCATAAACCAACCACCAGCAAGTTGCTGGTGACTCCAAGAACTTTACTTTTTACTAGTACACTACAGGGCATTTACCAGAGAACATCATGCACAATCATGTTGCAATAAATGATCAGCTTTGATCAGGTTTGGTTACTTAATCATTCCTAAGATTTTAAAACTTTAAGGGACCTTTTTGGTAATTCTGGGTATTTCTGAGATTCTTAATCCAGCAGAGAATCAGAAAGAACTTACCAAATATGTAGAGCTTTAGATGCCCTGTCTTGCATGCAGAGAATAAAGAAGAAGTATTAAAGGATACAAGCAAGTAGATTCTTAAAAGTTACAGTGCAAATAGAAAAGAGAAAAATCTCTAGCTCCTCTTAATTGGTCATTAATGTTGTTAAGAGTATTAAACTATATAGTTGTTTAAGAAATTGTTTTGGTGCTGAGGCATAGATGATTGTATAGATTTAGGAGAAGGGCTGATCATGCCTACACTGGTGAGACTCATAATGTGCTCCCTTATTCAGAATACTTTGTGGTATGTGGAACAGTGGATAGAAAAGAAGCATTTCTTTGATGATAGGAAGTTAAAACACAAAGGGTAACTCTTTTAAGCTAAGAATTGCATATCATTCTTACAGGCTACACAGAATCACTAGAGAAAGTTACTTTTCTGTTTTCTGGGAAAACAGAAACATGTCTTTCAGTAGGAATGTAATGCTACCATTTGAAAAGAGCTTACCTTTAAGGTAGTGTTGAAGCTGTAGGGGACAGATTGGGGCATTCTCCCCTCGTTGGGCAACAGCCTGAGTGAAAACTGTCACCTAGAGCCTTAGGGACCAACTCTGCTCTGTGCCATAGAAGTAATCAAGTTGGAGTTAGGCTGAAATCTCTAGGGAAAGCTTTTAGTTACTAATCAAGGCCTTCAATAGATAAATTTTGGCATTACTAATTAGGCAGGGAGGTGAGAATACAGAATATGCTGCTTTAGATAGAGCTTTTAAGCCTACCAAAAATGTTTTCAAGTCCATCTACTTTTGAAAAGTAGTATTCTGAAAAGTTTTTTATTGCTTTGCTTGTTTCTTATATTTTATGTGAAAAACAGCTTTTCAAACTATTACCAAATTGTAATGGTGAAGTGCAGTAATTTCTGTAAAGTGAAACTTTGCAGCATTTATCAGTACCCCATACAGGTTTAGCAACAAAAATTTTAAATGAAGTTGAAATCCTATGCCTAAATGTTGTCTCCCCTCTTCCCCTTCATTCCCGTCCTAATAGTTTTTTGCTATACTGATATTGTGAATAGAATAGAGTGCTTCCATTGCACAGTCACATTTGCTGGTTCTGTCCTCTTAATTGACCTAGCCTGAAGCCATGAAATACATGAAAATCCAAGCCAGGCTAGCTGTTTTAAAGTTTCTGAAAGTAATTTCCCCATTTTGTAGGGAGAGATAACTACTTTCTAAATAATTATCCAATTCCCAACACTGTGACTTTGTCCTAGTTCTTAGCTGACAACACTGTAGAGGCATAGAAGTTAGTATTATTCTATCTGCACTAATGAATAACTATATTGGTGTGTGCACAGAGGATACCTCTCTTAAGGATGTACTAAATGGACTTTAGCAAATGCTAAAAACTCATTACCAAATGTTGCACATGTCACCTTGTGAAGGTAACTGCATTAGCAGTGAGAGCTAAATCATCAGTAAGTACTTTAATGCCATGAGACAGCAAATAACTGGGACTTTTTTCATTCATTGAGTGGCACTTAATAGCAAAGGAGCTACCCAGTATGCTCAGCAAAAGAAGAGAGATGGCAAATGTAGTAATTGTTTATTCTATGTGGAATCTTTTACTCTCTCTGAACTCTGATAAGCACTGTAAAATACAGCATTGGCCTAACAGTAGCACAGTACTTAGGCAGAAAGGCTCTTTCTAATGACTTGTTCTCACTTTACTCAGAACCATATTTACCTCTGAACTGAGCTGAGTTTTTTAAAATTGCAAACTACAGCCAACCCATTTCCCTATACCAGATAGTTAAACCTAATCTTGAATATGTAAAAATATATTTGTTCCCAAAGGATAGAGCTCAAAAAGGGAGGGAAATAGCATTAAGGAAAGTTTTCTTTTTCCATTGTTTTCAGAATTTTAAATGTTTCTGATTCCATCTTCACCAGTGAAATTGGCTCTTCCAAAGATGGTATTTCAACAGAAATAACTGTTTTCCCTCTAACTTTATAATTGAAACTTGGCCTTGATTGGACCTGGTCTGATGGGAAAGTGAAATAGTGAATTTCATACTCAATACCTGAGTTGTCTTTCATCAAGAAAAAACTTAAATTGTTTGGCTTTTGACACTGATATTGTTTCTTTTAACTGGTAAAACCTATATTTTGTTTGACTAGGAGATTTAATATAAGAAATGAAAGCAGTGATTAAAGGAAAGGACATTAATTGAATAGAGACAAAGTGCTTTCTTAATTTATAATAATGAGAAAGCATTTAATGAGAAAAGAGTTGCAATCCTGGAAGTTTTTCCTTTTTCATATTCAATAGATGTGTTTTTATCACTTTCTCAAATGTCCTTATCTGTGTTTGGATTTATGGATTAGATCTGCCTTGGCAAACTGTAGTCCCCTACCCGAATCCTGAGGCCACCTGTTTGTATAAAGGAAGTACTGGAATAGGGCCACACCTATTCATTTAGGTGTCATTTGTGGCTACTTGTATTCTAATGACAGAGTTGAATGCTTGTGAGGGAGACCACATGGCCTGCAAAGTTTTAAATACTGTCTTACACTTGAACTCAGAACTCAGAACTTGCCAATACCTCAAATAGATTTCAAAGAATTTCCTCCCAAATTTGTTGCTCCTGCCATTTTACTTTTATAGTAGTTTGTTTGAGGTTGAAAATTCACATTGCCATATAGGCATCAATTTCTTGAAAGAGTTTGCCATCTTTTTTGAGGTCCTTTTTTCATAATGCTCTTTGTGCTCTTTATGATTCTCATTGTCTAGCACATTTAGATAGAATTTGTGATACATTCTTGTCTTAAAGGCGCAGGTAAATTAAAGTCTAGGATAGTGCTTATACATGCAACAAATGATTTTTAAAGCTAATTCCCATGCTTAGTAATGTAGACTTAAATGGGTACCATGTTCACATAAAATACTATTTTTTTAAAAAAAGATTTATTATGCAGACAGAACTGGGGTATAGACCAGAGGTACAGGAGTATTAAGAGGATTTACCAGAGGCAGAGTGGGGAACAGAACAGGCTTTTTGAGGGAAATACACTGCTGAGGGGAGCAGTGGGCAGGGCAGAAGAGTTCTGCCACTCAATGTGGGTCACCTCCCTGGCCAGGGATTGAACTCACACTGAAGTGGCTGAAGCAAGCTTCACAGTGCTGTACTTTAATCTGTTGCGCCACCAGGGAGGGCCCTAAAATACTATTTTTAAAAGGCTATTTATAAGTAAGTTTGGCCATTTCTGTGAGTTTACTTAACTGGTTTGTGTAATGATGGCAAGAATGAACTTGTTCTATTATGAATAGTGGTTTGATTCTAACCCAAAGTACTGTTTTTTTAGCTTTATGATATAGATTGGAAGCCCCTTCCTCTTCCATGTACTATAAATCTTCATTCCAGTTTCCTCAAGTAAACTCACTCTTTCCCATGTGGAGTAGTAAAAAGCCAAACCTCCCTTATCATTTATGAATGTTTTTAAAACATAAGGAAACGTGAGATTTCAAATTCTTCTTAAACTGATCTCCCAATTTCTGTCTGTAATTTTTCTAAATCTATATTGGACCAAATTTTACTTGTTTTGTAATTGCTCATTCATGCCGAGTGTTCACATTAGCTTATTTATACCAGATATGGAAGAAATGGAAACTGTTAGAATGATAAACAGCATTCCTTGCAAGAGGAGAATATAATTGTACCCGATTAGGCAGTGGGTTTCTGATTTAAATGTATGTATCCAGATAGTGTTCTAAGCTGAATCAGAAGCCAGTTTGATTTCTACTTTGTTGTGAGCTCTATGATCACAGACAAGTTTGGATGAGTAATGTAGCCTCTTAGAGAGCACCTCTTCACTAGGCATTTTATTCTTAAAGTTACCTTTATCTAAATTGGATTATCAGTGTGTTCATGACATATGTGTGAGTAATCTTCATCTGTAAAGTTTTCCTAGGTTAGATCTGCCTTATTTTAGAACACTTTTACCCATAATAATAGTGGGCTCTTGAGATTTTGGAGTGTTGCTTTTCTTCTTAACTTGGGCTTTGGATTAATCTGGGTTACAGGATTTATGAAAGAAATTGGACTAGGTAG